GTAGGCGTCGTGTCGATGTGTCGCAACCGCCGCCGCGTCTCGCTACGCTCGCATCGGACGGCGTTTCCGAAGGCGTCCGACGTTCTTCTGGCTCCTGACTCATTACCTCATTCTCAAGTTCGCTCACACCCTTTTCTTGCGTTCGAGCGTGACTCAGCGCACGGGGCGCAGAAAATGTGCGCGGCGTTACGTGGGCGTGTCCGCGTACCATAAATTCGTGTTGCCCGTCGACGCCCTTCGGTTCGCATCGAGCTGGACGAGGCGACGAATCCAGCACACCGCCACCGTTGGTGGCTTCGCCCACCTCCCACTTATCACTTTTTGTCACTTTTATCACTCTCCTATATCAACAAACCCCTGTTGCTCTATCAAATCACAAAAATCAACCGAACTCTTTATTCCCACTCTCTCAACGCACAATAAACCCTTCACGATAGTAGAAATAGCCGAACCTGCTAGTGCTTAGCATCATTTGCCACGATCTCAAACGACCTTGCGGTCAACTCGATCGCGTTGTCGTTTACGACTACGCTACCGAAGGTCCTCACTAACTGCTTCCAAAACCGGCTGTGCTGTCCCTGTTCTGCTACTGCTCAGCTCCTCATCACCCGCTGACAGATCACTAGTTTCTTCCGTATTTACTGCCACCGTAGTCTAAGCCATAGCAATTGTTTACACTCACTGCGTTTTCGCGTACTTCGCTACTGCTGCTACTGTTCTTCGCTCAGCGTCTTCTTCCTTCGGCATTATCGCGCAATTGGTTTCCTACTTAGCATTTCATAGCGCTAATCTAGGGCCAGAAACTTCTAAGCAAATAGAGGGGAGTCCTTGAGTGTAAACTAACTTGTATAAGAGCTGTCCGTACAACAAGTTGGTACCCTCGCCTGCTCTGTGCTCTCCGTTCTGCAAATCAATCTCTCTTTCTACTTCGCAAACCTTCACGGTTCTCAAGGTATCTCGTCCTCCATCGATTTTACCGAAGCGGTCGTGGTAGTTTGCTGCACATCTTCGTATACATACCATGCTGTAAGAAGTATCAATCTATAGAATTCGCAGAAAATCCGGTCTTTTGAAAAATTGCAAGAACCTTTTGTTTGCAATAAATTTCTCTTATGTTACATTTTCCAAGAACTTCTTATCAGCATGTCATCTAGTTTTAATACACGGGCAAAATAACTTTATAGGCGCAATATATCACATTTTATCTGACAAATCTTTTTCTCCGCCCATCAAATCAATGCTCAATTTGCTAGAAATTCTAGCCAACCTCTAGAGACTCAAACGACTACTCTTTTCTCACATACTGCAAAATCAAGAGTGACTTTGACACGCGCAACGCTAAAATTCTGACCCTACCTGGTTCGATCATTGAGCGCGATTTATAACATGGTTCGCCATTATATGTCTCGTCATGCTCCACATATCGAGCACAGTGCGTTGCATTTGCGAACACATCATTCAAAACATGATATATGGTGGTATTCACTAGGCTGCCTAAAAAGTGCCAGATCTGTTCAGCCACTGTTATTGCTTCAGTTTTGCGCCGAAAGAGTCTCTTGAACTTTTAGGACTGTTAGAAATTAACAGAAGATAGAATATGGATTTGAGATTGAGTGCAAAAAGATTAATTCAAATAGTAAGCTTTGATCATATACTTTTGCTAACACAACTTCAAACATCAAAAGTTATCTTCTTGAATGGTAAACGAGTGCAAATATGGTTAGAGGTTAAGCAGTCTTCGCTACTCAAAATGTTTGATGATACCAGATCTAAAAATTTTATACTATGTATATTATGTTGCAAATTTCAAGATATTCATTATTTTATACTGGATTTTTGAGCTGTTGACTGTAGTTCTTAATTCATTAATTTTCTGCGTGCTTTGAGAATTTCCTTACTCATTTTGATTTTTTTAGAAAAATCTAGAAGAATCACACGAAATGCTGTCGGATTATATGAAGCTAGAACAAACACTTTGATAAGAAGTACCAGTACCCTGGGGATTAGTGGATAACATTGAGCATCATCTCAAAATCTGTCGAAGATGAAAAATGCAAAAACGAAAAATGCAACTAACAGCGCTAAAACGATACCCGCAGTCACTCAGAATTAGTCAAGATTGGGGGCCCAATTTCTCTTTGAGGCCCAGTTATTCGAGAGAATTCGTGCTAAAGAGTTGTGGTGAGCAACCTCGCAAATTTATCCTTTCCACCCACCAGGCGCTGCTAAAAATTGCCGAGGCATTCATGTACTTGTAACAAAGCGCTTAAGTCCTGTACTCTTCACTACGTCAGCGTACTATGAGGATTTGCGTGCGTGGTTGCGTTACGCGCAACTGCGTATTTTGAGGCACGGGCGCGCACTGGTGACGAGGTTTTTCATTCGCACAGAGGGGAACCGGGAACCGGCCCTATCGCAGGCAGCTCCTGCTAGTAAAGCGGGGGAAGGGGGGGGGGCTCAATGCGCAACGACGACTATGACTACAAGTCGACTCAACAGCGCTCGTCACACACAGACAAACCACCACCACAAAATACTAGGCTCACGTAAGAGACTGGTTTTGCTAAAAAATCGTTCTGTTTGCTCAGACCAACTCTCTACGTTTGCACGTGTGTGTGTACGGCTATGTGTATGTGCATGTACGCAGAGATGAGTATTGCCAGTAGGGCCCTGCATGTTTTGATCCGCGCAGCTTCCGCCATCTAGGAGTTCCTCCTCCATCGAACGGTGAGGGAGGCGGCGTTCGTCGACGCCTCCTCGTTCGCCTCCTTCGCCACCCGCGTAATCAAGGTCGCGCGACTGAAACGCAATGGGGTGAGGGCATTTATGGTCGTGCACTAGCTGCAGTGAGGTATCTCGGACTGCCTACTCCACTATACTGTTTCTGCTTCCTCAGCTTCTGTTGCTGAGCTGAACGCACTTCACAGGTCATTCCCAGCATGAGCTAATTTTCCCAGTATTTTTATAGTAGAAAAATTCACTGAGAAGGCTCCCATGATGGAAAACGTCGCCTATTCGGAGTGCAAAGGGATCGGTAGTCATGCAGCATAGCGTACATAGCTAGCATTTAGACCCTTCTTTTGTGACCTGCGATCACCTTGACTATGTTTGGAGATGATTTGTACCTTAAAATATGTGTTTGCAAATTTTCATTGCGATCAGGTATTTTGCATTTGATTAGTTACCTTTTAGCTTTGTCTGTCCCTTCTGATATGCACCCGCCTCCCTCTTAGCCAAACTAAACACCAGGGTTGCAACAGTCTCTTGAGAATAGCACTTTGATTCTCGATTTCGTGTTTTTTCACCCATTTCTAGCTAATTTCTTCTACTACTTCCGAATTGACTCCTGTCACACCTCCATATCCATAGTCATTCTTCTCTCTCCGTTCTACCAATAGGTTCATCGCATTAGTAAATTGCTGTTTTTGCTGTGACTCTGTTACAAAAGTAAAACAAACCCATTAAGCAGTAGCGTCTTCTTTTTGCTAGTCTTTCGAGAAAGCCTCTACAACGAGTTCGGGTTCGCAGAGGTATGTAATCGGGGCTACGTCGCGAACAAGTCGTGATATTTAGATTGTTGCACAAAAAGAGCAAAGCAAGCGCTGTCTGGTTAGTCGTTTAGAGGCTAAACGACTCAGTCGCTCTATCGTAAGAAAGCAAAGTATCCAGCTCGAAAGAATGCACTCCTCCTTCGGTGCAATCAGAGCAAACTCATGCTTTTATACTTTATTTTTCTCAGGACTTAATAACATCATCACATTCACCTATGAAATGTAGTAGAATTCATCTATTTTTATCAATATCAGCTCTTCCTAAGGCCCCGGACAGACTTCACGCGATTTGATCGTCGCGATTCAATCGCCAAGATTTCCATTCATTTTCATCTCACATTCAAAAATTTCGGGCTGGAAAAGTATCACAACCGAAATGCAAGTTGATCGGCATGGAATGATGTTGTAACAGTTGTCTCGTCGCGATTCAGTCGCTACGATCAAATCGCGTGAAGTCTGTCCGGGGCCTAAGGCGGTACAAATCCTGTGTCATATTTCATTTATGAGGTAGTTTTCTCTACTATCTAACTTGGTACAAAAGTACCAAGTTTGTTGTGAATAATGGCTAAGGATGAGTACGTTTCATTCGAAATAGAAGTAGTTACATACAAAAGCTCCATGGCAATGGTCCATCAATTGCATATTTTTTGACGTACTCCATCAAATCATAATCGAACTGTTAGACCTGTGTCGCTTCCGAAGTCATGAGATTTCTGATTCATCTGTTCTTTTGGCACTCAAGAGAGTAATAGAGATGTTGGTCACGCTTGTCGATATAAGGAGTTCAAAAACTGGTCGGAAGTCTAGTCACAAAATCAAACTGATAACTTGTTTATTTGAGCTACTAAGATGACTCATGACGTACCCACATGTCTCAACAAATATTTCTCAATAAGCCATTTAGAGTATAACGTGCTTACAAATACATTTCGTCAGCGCAACTTCCGTATTTACTATATATGTAAGATGAATCACAATATAATATCCTTGAAGGTTTCATGAAGCATTCAGCTCGAATATGTTAAGCGACATCTTCCTGATATGCCCCTCTAGGTTAGAAGCGGTCATGATGTTCTTTGTCTAAATTTCGGACACACAAGTTAAGTAAGAAATGCGAAAAAAACAGGACTTTTAGAGTGTTTCAAGGCAATGAATGACTTTTTAGTCGGAAGTATAACTTCAAACAAATCATTCAAGCTCGGAGTAGTTATTTGTTACTCTAAAGAATCCATTTGGCACATTATTTTTCTTTGCACTCATCAGAAAGTTTCCAAACACAGAGAGGTGACAATATTCTAGAAAATTTGCCCAAAGCCAACTGGGGAAGCCCATATCCGAATGTGACTCAATCTGGGCACCATGTATATTTTGATTCGAAGTTCACCAAAGTAACTGAAATCAAGGTCTAAGCCGTTTTTTTATGGAGAGGAAAACAATCAAGGGTTCAGGATGGGGTTTAGGAAAATAACGAGGTCCTCGCTATGTAATTCCAGACAAATCGTCGGAGGAATGTCCAGCGCCCAACTTCTTCCGCCGTCACAGCCAGCCTCTCATCATTTCGCATTCATGGGCCACAGAAGCGTTGACCTGGAACGGGGTCGACGAGTTCGACGTCGTCTCTTCTGCCTTCGAAGCAGCACATTCAGTGCATTCAGTGGCGGCTCAGCGGGTGACGACGGGGCCGGCGCAGAACTCGTCGGAATTCACGCCGCCTGGCGCCGTCATGCTGGTGGCGATGCTGGGATCGCATCGATCCGCTACTGGCCTCACCTCGAATCGCTAATTCATTTACGACTCGCGTTTCGTTCAGCGCTTTCTTATTTGAATTGATTAAATCGACGTCGTTGCGATCGCTTCGAGGACAGAAGTAGGTGATTCACACTTGTATGGAAGCTAGACTTTCGTTTTCTTCGTTTTGATTGATTTTAGCTGCTGCACCATTCTAAAAAATTTCTGTCCAAAATTTCTAGTTTAAGTGCTGCAAAAACTTGTTTCTTAAAAATATCTACGTACCAAATATGGATACTGAGCCATGCCTGGTACAGTCGTACACCTGGTCACATCCAAAAAGTAGTCCTCCAAACAGAAATAAAAGCTCGGAAATTCAAAAATGTTAAAATGAGGAAAGTAAAATTTCCATTTTTCCATTTTTATCCATTTTGTTTCATTTTCAGACAATGCAGTTCGTCATCAAAGCTCTGTTATCGCTTGATTTTTAGCTGTTTTTGAACATAATTGTATTGGGAAATATATCCATAGTGGTAGACTATATTTTAGAGTATTACACAGAAATGTTTATTTTAATTCTGTCGACACTTCAAAGATAAATAAATCGAAAGTTTCTGGGAAGGGTCTTTTTGATTGTGCCCATTTGCTTCCATAATTCTCACTATATCAACATGTGATAGGTTGAAATGTCCAGCTAAAAAATAATTCACAATAGGACCTCAAGAGTAAGCTTAATGAAAATTGGGTTCGAAAGGTAGTGATGGTTTTTATTTCTCCCTTTCATTTTGTCCTATCCACTAACCCAACCAAAGTTCTTTTTCTATTGACAAACTTTTCGACTGCTCCTATCTCATCGACCGATACAAAAACACAAGGTAAGTGCTCCTTTCCTACCACTTAGAAGTGTCCGAAACGGAAGAGGAGTAAATTGCTACCTCATACTACTCTGCCAACTATTTGTAATAATTCCACCAAGGTTCCTTTTTCACAAAAAGCACAGCGAAATCAATACAGGTCACATCAAAACATTAAGATCAGTATAAATGAGGGCTATAAATCTTCTATGACTTCATATATCTAGTATAATCAATAGGTCTCCTAACGATTGCATTCACTTGTGTAATCCAAAATCCTTTGTATATCGTTGTATCCTACGTAAACCGACAAAATCCTGCAATTCAAAACAAGTTCCGCCTCACTCAACACTCTCTCCTCTTGCCAGATACCAGTTCCTCTTCGGGGGTATTTTGCAATGTGTGAAATTGCATCTGTGTGTCGTGAAGTTCCATAAGCCATCGCAAAATTCCGTTCATACACCCCACCAACTGTGACTAATTTTCTGCGTTTTGAAATAATCATATTTGACAGTTCGATGCACAATGTCATTGTGAGTGTCGGCATTTATTACATTCAACTATTCATTTGGATTTTGCCAGCGGTTTTTGTAGGAAAATGCGTGTGTTTGTCGTAAAGCTAGTCAACTCATCTTTCTACATTATATCCCGACGTTTCTAGTTCTCATTTCATCTCTGCCGGTAGCATTCTCCCGCGCGGATTAATCAAACCGGAAGTGGGTGATTTGCGAAAACACTCCCATATATTCCTATTCAATTGTGTCATGCCATTATTCAGTTCTTCTACAAGGGTTCGCTCTCAAATTGTTGCCAATTCATTTTTGCTGCCGGAGAACGCATTCTAACTGTATCTTTTCGGTAATCGCCTTGTTTCAAGCAGGGCATACTCGAAGAAGACAAAGCAGAACTGAACAGCCAAGGCAAAGAAGACATTCGAAAGGCTTTCTAAGAGTTGCTTAGCTCCTGACTCACCTCCGACTCGGTCGTTTTTCGTCTTTGCCGGTGCCACAATGCTGTTAGCCTAAGCACGTCTCGCACGCTCGTCCTAGACAAACTGCTCTTTCTTTCTCCCTTAGCTTTTTGCGCTCAAAATGTTTTGTCTTTTCGCCGAAACGAGTTCCGTAAAGCTACTTGATTGAGTGTTGGTTATTTCCATTACTAGCTCCATCTCGCTCAGTCACACACTTCGCAGTAGGTTATCTGACTCTGAATCGCGCCCGCCAACTCTCGCAACACTCTAGGCGTCTACAAAAATCAGGGCGAATTCCAGTCGCGACTGGACGAGCTTTGCGTTTTCTTGTTTGATCTACTGATAATAGAAACTTCTAGGAGGGGCGGAGGCGTCGGGATTACGGCTCGCGCAGCTTACGCAGCCCTAATCGCCCGCCGTTGCTTGCGAATCGGCAGCGGCAGCCCAGCGCAGTGTCGGCGGCCCTCAGCTCTTCGTTCGCTTCTCATCAGAAGCTCCCTAGTGCTCTGCTCTGCTGGGTGTATGTGTCATCCTCATATGTCGTTTCCCGGCCCTGCCATGCCCATGCCTGGCATTCCTCAACCGTCTTTTCTGCTTTGTTGACTCTCGTCGTTCCGTACGAGGTGCTACGCGCGCGGCCTGTTTTGTTATCGAAGCCTGCTGTACTCCGGCGCTTCCTTACCCCTATCATACTACTTTTCAACTCTGTCTTCCACATCAAAGTCAACCAACATATTTTTGCGAGCCTCCATTGATTTCCTCCATTTTGTCTCATTTTACCACAGTCTCTAAAATTAGGCAAAGGTATTGCAGCTAGCGGCTGATCCTCGTCGCAACACTCCATATTTTCTAAAAGTATCGTGCTACGCTATACAAAACTGATTCCTAGAACTAACAAATGCTGGACTTCTCTGTTTTCGAGAATTCGAGAAGGTCTCTATTTTGTGCAAGATAAACGGGCCGCGAATGTATCTAAATCTGTTTTTATCACCCGAGATTTACAGCTGTGTACGAGAATATTAGATTAGATCATCCGAAAATCATAGCTATGTATGAGTAGAGTAGACTTTTTACATTTTGAACTCAACGTTAGCTAAGCTTGATGAAAAATTTCTTGTCATGATTTATACTCTCCACAATTTGAAGAAGCTTGACCTTGAAGCCACTGTACCGGATGTTTGAACAAAGATTTTCGCTATTCTTATTGCACACGATACTTTTAGTGAACGAAGCACCTCAAGTGCAAATTGTGCAACCGAATTTCTTTGAAGATCCTATTCTTCTGATGCATTGTCGCGATGTTCAAAAACTCTTGTCATTTTTCAAGGAACACTTTCATGAATTCAGAGAAACTTTCATCGTGAGCCCTTCACACTGTAGAGTATATGTACTTGACATTTTACGCATACAAAAGTAAAGGGAAGAGAGGGGGAGCCAGGAAGAGGGGAGGCTGTTAGATTAGTCTCAACAGCATTCTCTACTGTTGACTGAACTACCAGTCCTCCTGCTCATTTCTCCTTGAGAACTCCAGGTCTTCGCTAATCTTCTAAAGCGCTCTTGCAAATTCAGAAAAATCGGAGGTGGGTAGTAGCACGTACGATATCGTACTAATCCATAGCGTAAATGTAAACATTTGCGAATTTTTCTTTTTATTGGAAGGGCTTAATCAGTGCTTGGCGAGGGAGGGCAGTGCTTTGGGTAATCGAGTGTGCTTGCACAGCTTGCGGAAAATTGCTTTAGCTTTGTTGCATCCATTTATTAGTCACTTTCAGTCACTTTTTTGAGTTTTTTGGTGAAGAAATGATACAAACTGGTTTGAAGCTGAACAGACTCGTGAGCTGAATGTTTTGCTGTGGGTATATTACATCGTAAAACCCTTTTATGCGCACAACATTTCCTCCTACTCCCCTCCCCTGTTCTCCCCCCCCCCCCCGCCCACCCTTCTCGCCCTTACTCTATCCCCGTACATATATAAGCCGCAATGACATCTCTGTCGAAAATAACTGATGATGTTCGAGCGCAAAATTGTGAGAGCAGGATAGGATGAACGTAACCAGTCACTAGTCAGTCAGTGTTTTTTGCTATGATCAAGTCTGTCACGTCCTATTCGTCATTGCCTATCGAGAGCTTGGCTAGATTTTCGTGGAAATAATAATTTCTTTTGGGTATTTACACACACCGCACCCCCAACATCATTCCATCAGTGATAGAATTTATTGCGCTTTTTGTCGTCTGCCTTGTTTTTTCTTTGTGACGATCAACACTTAGTCAATAACAGAGCGAAAACATTTACCTAGCGCACTCGAAGCTAACTGGAGTATGCTTTTCACTTGCTCCAGGTCAAGATTAGCTGGATGGAATCGTATGCCGCGTGTAACAGTGGGACTGTGAACAATTTCCCCATAAAATCTTCCAATATCACGAACGGAAAACTGCAGAAATTGAAATTCGGCTTGCCATTTGTTTCTTGAAAGCTAATACACAATGCTAGAAATACCAGCCCTTTCTTATATTCGCTCAAAATTTACTCATCTTTTTCACATTCCTATGCTTTTACTTCACTCTGAGATCTGGAGAAGCTATCAAAAGGAATTTCGTACATACATTTTGTTTCTCCAGCTGCGTAACTTATAGGTTTGTGATTAACGAAATTTACAACTGTATATCTCACCCTAGAAAGTCCTTTCCGGTTCAGTAAAATGTCATACCAGTAAGCAACTCCCCTGTGTATTCCATGGGAGTTTAACAGCCATAGAACGAAAGCCTAACCTTCATTCCAGTTCTAAAAGTACCGAAAACCATCCGCCACAAGCGCATGCCTTGTTGGCACATTGTCTGACTCACTCGTCAAGCACACATTTCAAGGTTTGTCGCATAGCGTAGGTGAATGTTGCAATTCAATCGCTCGTATTTGCTTTGCCGAAGCTTTTCGCGCCTTTTCGGAGCAGTTTCAGAGAAGTTGGATGTGCCAAAATTCTGAGAAATGATGCATTTTTTGAAGGTGCGAAGAATGAACCGAGATTGAGAAGGGCTGAGCGCCAAGAAGTTGGTGAAATCTTTCAATAGACACCAGCAATCTTGTCATTTTCAACCTCTTAATCTTACATCCCATATCATATGACCTCACTTCCATATCTGAAAGATGTCTCTGAAATTATGTCATTCTCCCCAAAATCATATTTCTCTGCACTTCCAGTTCATCCTATTCGTCGCGTTCGTTTTTTTTTCGTGACATAGTTTTGACTTACAGGATGGAAAAAATAGCAAAACCTGTTGCTGTTCCAGGAGAGGAGATGTCGAAGTCAGAATCGGCCTCTGAATATGAGATTCAGTACCGGTCGACGATCCAACCGAGGACTGCCGTCAGATCGCAGTCCCGGCAGAGTGGAAACTACGTCTCCGGCGGTGCCGGTGGCGGCGGCGGTGGTGAGCGAATTCCAATCATTCAGTCTTTTGAAAAAAAAAGATTTTCAAAGAATTGAGAAGGTCTAAACATATCAGGAACACATAACGCATGATTCTTTTATGACTGCTGACAAGAGCAAATTTTAAATGGTACTCAACACAAACCTTTTGAAACAATTTTTTCTTCTGGAAAGTCTGCAAGTATTCTTCCCGCCATGGGGTGTGGCCGAGACGGTTTGGCCTTGTCCTTTAATTTGCGAGACGCATCGAAAGAAACTGCCACTTCTAAATCCAACGCTACGAACATCTCGTACTGAATAATGACTGACCTTGATTTGATGTGAGCGACGTCTACTTAGCAATCGTTTCGACCTGATTTCGTTACGCCCGAAATTGTAGATTGTTTTTGCTAATTGGATGCTGATTACGTAGTCATGGCAAAAACGAGTAACGTAAGCGCAGTTGGAAACATTTTCTCTGCGGCGTGTGCTTCTGACGAGAGAGCAGGATGTAAGCTGAGCTCATGTGAATTGTTCAGATGAGCTCAATGAGTTCCAAACATTCCAGACCGTTTAACCAACAAATTATGTCTAACGAAAAATGTGATAAGGATGAGATTTTATAATGCAAAATTATGTTGCTATAGAAAGAAATATGCATCATCATCCGACACGCTCATTTTCATGGTCAATACAAACCTTTATCTTGAGAGATGTTCAATAGTAAATTTCATGTATATTAGCCCTGTGAGCCCTGTACCAGTCAGAAAGTGACGCGTTTTGGAGAGTTGCGACGACTTAACTGAGCACATTTTTGCGTATGTTTTTGTGCGCGTGGGAGTCAGTATATCGATACTGGGAGCGTGTGTTTGCTTACGATCTGGTTTAACCTGACTTAGAGAGCTGCAGAATAGGGTTGCAATTCAGCCTGACAAGCTCTTGAAGTTGCTTCAATCGGGAGAGTACAGAAAGAATGCCGAAAGAATGCTTGCCTGGCGCAAGAAGCGCACCATGCATGTCGCGTAGTGTCCGGACCTGCTCGTCACACGAGAGTCGGAGGTGAAACAACCGACCGCACACAGTTCGCAGCGAAATGCAAACAATGTGCTGGGGTTGTGTGGTGGGGCTGCTCGCACAATTATGAAAGCCTCGCGGCGGGTCTACCTCATTCGCTGCCACCGCCATGGACTATGCAGGTACGACTCTTCTAGTGGCTATGACTGAGTTCGGTTCTGCTCCGGCGGAACCTGTGGAACGCTAGTACGGGAGGGGTGCGACCTTGCGTGCGTTGGCGCTGTGAACTGGCAGCATTAGCCGCGGATTATGCAGATTCGCGCCGTGTCGCCTATTCTGGTTCTGCAATTTCATCTCTGCCGTGTCGATTCTGGAAAAAGTAGGCGTGTGCGTGTCTCCGTTTCTGTCAATCTCACTGATCGATTGATCGATAAGACGAGAAGAGCATATGAAGGTGAAAGACCTTGGATTGGTGGAGTTGGCGTGAGTGGGCGCTCCACACACACATATATCTCTCTCTGTCGCTTACTGACTGTTACGGACGACATCGACGGAACCACCTGCCCCCCTTCGCTCATCATCATCAGTTCGCTAGTCGCCGCTGACTGATACGGGAATGTCCGGCGAATCCATGCCTCGTACAGCCGCTTCCGGAGGTTTGTGCCCCTTACTACCCTTTCAGCCTCGCTTGGAACTCATGAGGTAACCCACCTCATAGATGTTTTGAAGAATTATCTTGGTAGTGGTTATTTGACGCTACCACAGTTCTCAAAAATCTATGCCATGAGTAGAGGTATCGTACCTACTCTTGACAAAACTTCTTATATTAAATTTCCTATCATTTGTACCTTCAATCAATCAAATTTTTGCTCCTTTTTTCTGATTTTATATGGGAGAATTAGACATTTAATGCAAAAATCAACTCATTACTAGTTTTGGTAGCAACTCCTCTACTTTTCCTAAGAACCTCAATTTTCTCTATGGATCGACATAGAAATATCGATCACTACCTCTTTCTACTTAATCTAGAAGCATTCGTAGAACCTGTCCCATTTGCATCTGCAAAGACATGTAAGATTTTTGTCAAGCAATGTGATTTCTAAAATTTTACAAACATACTTTCATTCCGAAATTTTACTTTTTTATCGTTCTTCTTCATTCTGCAACTAAAACTGTTAGGGCCCAGGGTTTGTGAGCAAAGACAATTTTTTTCTATGTCGTTTCCCTTCTGATATTCCTATTTTAAAATTTTCTAGTTCCTAGTTCTGCAGCTGCTTTTCAGCGCCAAACATTGCACACTTTTTTCAAAGTAAAAGGACGCTTGTCACTTCAAAAGGATTTCAGATCGAAGTCGATGTTCAAGTGCAGTATTGCAAACTGGTTTTCAGAGTAAAAGTACCGTGTTTGTCAAATTCTATCACCACCGTTGAACGCCTAGAAATGGCAAAGCATCTGCATATTGATAGGTATGGGTGAGAGCAATACCATAAAAAATTCAGAATATCATCTGGGAGCCGCAATGATTTTGATTTTTTTGGTTTGTTTTTTTTCTTCACGGCTTAGTTTAAGTCAACTTTTCGCTACGTTTTTTTCTCATGCGCTGCCATCCTGGAGATCAGTGGCCCCCGTGACTCGCATCGTCAGCGTACGACCTATACGTAATCCTCTTTGTTGTACAGTTACCTGAAAAACCAATGAAATGAATACGGTGACATATGGAAACGTCAGTCAATCAATAAATGAAGTGCATTAGCTCACTCTATCCAAACATGGGGTGGAAAGCAAGGCCAATTCGAAAACTTTATGGACTGTTTCATTACGCCACTTCCTAGTAAGGAAGTTGAATTTCTACGAGGTTCACTCCGATCCCTTTCTAAACGGGCGAAAAAGGATCTCCATTAGCAGTCCTCACGATTCGATTTCTTACTCCCCATCTGCGTGTAAGTGCACTGGTCGGAAAAAGGTTTAGCGCCCCAAAAAGTGCTCGCCTCCTTTGAATTTCGATGTTGCTTGTCTAATTGCAATGGTCACACAAGGTCTCGTAAGTCGGCGGCGATTGAGAGACGAAAATCGCCTTGGTTAATGGAGGTTGACAAGCGCGAACACCCCATGGAAATGGAGAAATTGGTTCAGGATAGATAACATTCCTTAGTGGTAATCATCATATGAATGACTAATTGTTTAGGAAGAGTACTCAAGATGGTGACGGAGATGGGCTCCGCCACCATCGGTGGCATCTCACCGGCATTGTCAGCAAATGCCGCTAAATCATTCCTGGAAGCCACCGATAAGGAAAAGAAGGAACTGCAGGTGTGAAGGGATTCGGAGAATTTGGCCTTTGAATCGGTTTCTATGGGAAATCGTTTAGGGATTGAACGATCGCCTTGGCAACTACATCGATCGAGTAAAGCGCTTGGAAGAGCAGAACAGAAAACTCGTTGCGGATCTCGATGAGCTCCGCGGTAAATGGGGAAAAGACACTTCTGAGATCAAGGTAGGTGCCGAATCTCGGTTACTTGAGTGTCACTTGATCTTTAAACCGTTTTTTCTGCCCTCTCATTCTCAGCCCCAATTTTTTCAGATCAAATATTCGGAATCGCTGTCAACCGCCCGTAAAGACATCGACGACTCGGCCAGAAGAAAGGCCGAGATCGATGTGAAGGTGGCTCGTCTGCGCGACGACCTCGCCGAGTACCGAAGTCGGTCAGTGTGCACTTCTTGCGCTTCCCTGGCTCTAGTCGGCGGCTTTTTCTTGCACTTCAGGCTTGGCACAGATTTTCGCGTTTTCTGAATTGATGGTCATTTTGAATGCGCTGTTTCGGAATTCGAGAGAGGTCGTGAGTATGGGGGCGAGCGCCCAATGATTTGTAAAGCGCGCAAACCGGTTGCGCTTCCATGGCCCATCTCTGTGCCTAAGCCATCGCACTGTTTTGCTACAGTTATCAATACGCACGTAACCGGCAAATAGGATCAGACCGAACTCTTTTTTTTGCCGGTTGGGAGCATGTTTCGAATCATGGAGAGTATTTGTGCCTTGCACGAATGTGAAGAACATGAACAAGGGAATAAATTGTATGGCAAGAATTCAGCACGTGACTTTTTATCACCCTCCATAAGCGCTCAAGCTTCTCTATGAAATTGAGTTGGGCGCTTTAGAACTTGTGAGTATGGCTGGATGGGATGTGGTTTCAACAAGGTCAAAAAAATTTTGTGTTACAGCCTTCCGGCTGAGGATTTTATTTTCTGAAAAAGAAACTATTAACATCAATTAGTCGAGGAGCGAAATCCGGCGCATCTTTCTCACCTATTAATTCGTTTTAGCATGGTTTTCGTTGGACTTAGACTCACGCCTGTTTTCATATGAGTAAAAAAAGCGACAATTTGATAACCTCAGATAATTAGACGTTGATTAGGAGTTGTTCACCTTGATTGTACTTTACCAATATAATATTGATAAGAGAACCTTTGAATGCCTCATCTCGTTTCAAACCGAGCACCAAAGATTTTCTAAAAATCCTCTGTTATGTACTCTGATCTCTTCGATTTGTGGTACAAGCACAATGTCCTCATTTCTCTTTTTTTGCACATTTACATGATTTTTGCGGACAAGGAAGTATGAATCATCGTAATTAGATTACCAACCGTTTGAAAAACATCTGTTATACAGATACTTTGATGAGTCACTTCTGGTAGTTCATATATGTGCCTGTTTTTTCGATTCTGGATTATTGATTCAAAATTACTCCTATCATTGTTTGCTTTCACATAACGCTGAATCGATTTTCAAACAGTGTTTGCTTAGCTAAGGGCAACAGTCTGTGAAGTTCAAAAAGCGCAGTTATGACTTCCAGTTCGATAAGAATGAGCAAATGTGATAGTCATCTCTTTATCTTGAGATATGTTCAAGATAAGACGGGAAGCTATTTGATCAATGCAGAAAAAAAAACTAAAAAGCTTTACGAACAAGAAATCACGGGACTTTGTTTGCTAAGCATTTATGTAAATGCTGACAGTAGGCTAGGAAAATCCTGTTCATGCGTCAGAGAAAAGATAATTTTTTTCTTCTAATACACACGCGAAATTCGCTTGCTTTTGCTTATTTAAGAGATAACCATAATAAACGAATAATATCATTCCAGCTATGAGGACATCCAGCACCGCAGAGAAGCCGATCGCGAGAAAATTGCTCAATGGACAAATGCTATCGCTGATGCCCAAAATGAACTTGAAATGCTTCGGGCTAGGTAAGCGGCTCCCTTGGCCGCATATTTTCTTCGAAAGAAAAAATGGGTCCACGGTTCAGGTGGAAGCAGCTCACTGATGAAGAGAAACGATTGAATAACGACAATGCTCGCATTTGGGAAGATCTCCAGAAAGCCAGAAATGTATGCAAAATCAACAGTTATTCCCAAATTTTTCTCTTTTTTCTGAATTTTTCTTTTCGCAGGATCTTGATGAAGAAACCATTGGTCGCATCGATTTCCAAAACCAAGTGCAAACCCTTATGGAGGAACTAGAATTCCTGCGCAGGTGTCTACTTGTCTCCTTACCATTTTTCACATTCCATATACAATTTCATGTTCCTTAGGGTGGTGTCGTCCATAAACGAGATCTATTTAGAGTCCACGAACAAGAAGTAAAGGAACTGCAAGCTCTGCTCGCTCAAGCTCCAGCCGATACCCGCGAGTTCTTCAAGAACGAACTTGCTCTTGCCATTAGGTAGGTACTTTTTGACTGTTTCGCAAGCAGTGGGTGTTGATTTACCTATTATGATCACTTGGTGGAGATTTTCTTATATCTGCAGCTCTTTTTCAAAATTTATACTCTCCGCTTTTCATTTATTACATCCTTTTCCTAAGGCAGTAGAGGACAGGTGTTATTTCGAAATGTGCCCAGTTTCCTATACACGTAACCGATAACAAATTTGGACTTATAAACATTATCTTTGAACTTCTGCGCCTTTCATCGTGGTTTATATTTGACCTATTCCTTTGCCTCACCTTGGACTTCCTGTTCTCATTGTTGCACAAGAAAAAGACTTTTGTTTGAACTTCTAACGCCTCCGCTCTCTATGCCTAATCCTGTTACATTGCTCAGCACGCCGGCCTCATTCTCGTTATTTTTGCTCAAGAATTCAACGAAATACTTCTTGCAGGGATATCAAGGACGAGTACGACTACATCGCCAAGCAAGGCAAACAAGATATGGAAAGCTGGTACAAGCTCAAGGTGTGCATTCTGTAGCTGCGGAAAGCTGATCCGTCTAGCGTTAACGGTTTCTACGGTTTGTTTTCAGGTGTCTGAAGTGCAAGGAACAGCCAATCGTGCCGCCATGGAATCGAATTACCAACGCGAAGAGGTCAAACGAATGCGCGACAACATTGGGGACTTGCGCGGTAAACTTGGAGATCTCGAGAACAAGAATGCCTTGCTTGAGAAGGAAGTGCAGAATCTCAACTACCAGGTAAGAAAGGGTAGATTCTGAGGCAGGAACGGTAAACATGGCTTTCATTTAGCTCAACGACGATCAAAGACAATACGAAATGGCTCTCAACGACCGTGACGCCACTCTCCGCCGAATGCGCGAAGAATGCCAGACATTGGTACGTTACAGGGCCTGATTGATTGTAAACATGAATTTTGATGGGGTGACAATTCAACCACTTCAATCTTCAGCTTTATCTTCACGTATCCGTTGCAGGTTGCTGAATTACAAGCTTTGCTGGACACGAAACAAATGTTGGATGCCGAAATTGCCATCTACAGAAAGATGCTGGAGGGAGAAGAGAGCCGGTGAGTACTTCAAATACAGTTAGGATACTCATATCGTATTTACATCTCTTGATTTAGCTCCGAAGGTTCCAGGAGCCATAAAAACCTTCTCGAGCCCCATTTGGCACAAATAATGAACATTTCCTCCTAATAATGTCATATTTAGTGTTGGACTTCGTCAAATGGTCGAGCAAGTAGTAAAGACGCACTCACTTCAACAACAAGAAGACACGGACTCAACTCGCTCTGTTCGTGGGGAAGTCTCCACGAAAACCACATTCCAACGCTCTGCCAAGGTAAGTGCCCTCGCTCCTAAGTTGGTCATTTTCCTCGATATTTGTCGATTTGATTGAAGTAGAGTACGAGAGTGCTAGGCACAGCTCCAGCTGTGGAACTCAAATTTCGAATTATCAAAAAAATGTTCTTGTTTAGGGAAATGTCACCATTGCCGAGTGCGATCCTAATGGAAAGTTTATCACTCTAGAGAATACGCATAGAACAAAGGTTTGTTACTGAACTTCGATTGTTTCTGACATCAAGGCTTTACATGTATCAAGCTCATTAAAAAATTCTTTTGGAACAAAAAACATCGGTTTTTAGACAAAAAATGTCTATAAAGGTCACATTGGCACATTGGCACAAATGTTACCGGTTTTTTTCTTGTGACACGTCCGCATACTATCACTCGCCGTTTTGGAATAAAATTTGCGTGCATTGGAACACAAAGTGTTACCAATGTTTATGGCACAATAAAAGTCGATAAATGTTTCTAGGACGAGAATCTCGGTGAGCACAAACTGAAGAGAAAATTGGACAAGGGACGTGAGATTGTTTACACAATTCCGCCCAACACTGTGCTCAAGGCTGGCAGGACCATGAAGGTAGCGATGGGCTTGCAATTTTTAGCTGGATAATTATTAAAAATGCGTCTTTTTCAGATCTACGCCCGCGACCAGGGAGGCATACACAACCCACCCGACTCGTTGGTGTTCGACGGTGAGAACACCTGGGGCATCGGAGCGAACGTGGTCACCTCGTTGTACAACAAAGAGGGCGAGGAGCGCGCCACGCACACGCAAAAGACGATCCAGACCGGCATCTGATGACCCTTCCCCCGCTGTGTGCCCATTCTCATCCCGTTTTCCGTTTCCGTTCACTTAGTCCTTACGAGCTCATATGTGTAGATACACACCCCACGTCCCAAACGTCTATACCGTATCTTCCATTTCGCTTCAGTACCGTCCACGGCTGGCAGTAGCCGCTCGGCAACGGTTGTGCTCTTCACATCGTCTGTAACTGGCCGCGCAGCCCGGCCGCCGGCTGCTCCGCGCGCTCTCTCTCCCTAAATCACTGTCCAAGCAAAGTGCCCATCCCCTTTGCGCTCATAGTCAAGCTTGTATACGACATTTATGATATTTTTGCTGAGATTTTCATAAATTCATTCTTTGCTGCCGCCTTGTTCGCAAGGAACCCCGCCAGTGTGTGTGTGTCTCGACGTAATGCATCAATTTTGCTGACGAAGGGCGACATCGCTCTTCGTTTGCTTCTTCTTCAAGCTGCCACGTTTTCATTTCAAATAAAATATGTATTAGTCGCATGGGTCACTTGTGCGATTCGCCATCGATCATCACACCGTCGAGCGATCACTTTGTCCGTATTTGAGATTCTCGTGTACACAACCACACCCAGCACAGTTTCTCTCAAACTAATGCGCGAGTTAAATCATTAGTCAGCAAAGACAACACTCGCTCTGAAAAGTGTCTGATGACATATCGATTTTGCTGGTAGATTTCTTTGAAGAAACATACAGTTCGCAAATTTGGCTGATACATCTTGTTCGTTGTCGTGAAAATAGCATGCACACAAGATAGCATTCTCGACATATTGTAAATTTACATTCTTGGCGGTTTGTGAAACAGTCTTCACGAACCTTCTGAATTCTGGCAAAAACAACATTTTGCTTATTTGATGAGCAAGAACGCGAGAATAGACACGAGTGCCAGCATTCAGAAAATGCACTACATGACAAGAAGTGCTGTGAAAACGTTGTTCAATAGCTCTTACAAGATGAGCAGCACTAGTAATAATTTTTTAGTTGATCCATAATAGAATATCTACAGTGACAAGAGTGTCAAGTAACCGGATCAGGACACTGAGCTGTGGGTTTTCAACGCCACCAAATTTAGTGTTTCGCTTCAAAAAGAAATCCGCACCAAACAAATGCTCTTGCCGGAATAATTCATGTAAAGCTGGCCCGAATTCTAGTAAGTTTTTGAGTTGTTAGGTCAGAAGATGCACGCGAGAACGAAGATAAAGTAGCTAATTTTATAGTTTCTTGTACCACTAGAACTAGTTAGTAATCTAAGCATAATAGGAGGACATTCAATTATGCACGCATAAAATGCTCTACTGAAGCAAAAACCTGCGAATATCATTGCCCCTATTCTCCAGCTAAGTTCCAGCTTGGAAAGGCAATCCATCTACGAAATCCTAAATCCTTTACCAGATCCCAGCAGAAAGTTAATATTACAGAAGATAAGAGCTCTTGACTTTGCAATCCAAGCTAATCTTTCCAGATGGATTATGATACGCGACAAAGTTACGGTCGTGTTTTGATGATCAACAGCCATTCGTGAAGAGTAAAGCCATCAAATAAGACAATGTAGATTTTCCCTATTCCTACCTTGATTTTTACAAAAATTAAAAGCCACTGTATTAGAATTGGAACAATGGAAATCAAATAACATATTCGATGTGAGGATTTCCTTACTACCAAAGACGCTGTAAATTACAGAAATCTTGTTATGCAGTGATTGATGGATCCTATAAATACAACTCAAGACATCTAGCTTTTTACTTCATTTTTTTACAAGTTGGCATCCCGGGTCCCACCTCGGTTTGGAGCCAGTCCAACGTGTTTGACCTTTCATATAGCGAAACTTTTCCTTCCTTTAAAATTCTTTTAATTCGCATTGTCTTGGGTTTGCTTCCTACCGTCCTTACCATGACTCGATGACCAGCAGATCAAAATGCGCTTCGCCACTCATCCCTCATGACTATGAGGAATGTGCACAGACGTACAGATTTTCTTCTTTATATATGTAGAGATTTAAACACCATTATTCCCCAATCATAAAAAGCGTGACAAAATCATTAAGGTCATGGTGGATTCTTTCACTACACTGGAATGGGTGCTACGCTAAAAGAATATAGTTTATTACGTGTTCTGTCATCATAATAATAAAATCAGCAATGTACAGCTTGGCACACATTGTCGTAAACGTCTAAAAACGCTTCTTTGCAGTTGTACTTGACACGAAGCCATTCGTATAGTGATGAGTCGAACATCTGCCAGAACTCGGACCGGCTCATTTTCGTACCTCCATGGAGCATTTTGACGCTGCAAGTGATATTTTATTGAAGTGAATACAGAAAAGAAATTCCTTACCCATTCGCGTCCCTCGCAGCTTGTTCTAACCGCCTGATGCAATGTACTGAGGAGTTGTTAGCCACTCCTAAATGCAGATATCATTAGATTAATCAAATTGAAAAATTAAAATCCTACCATAGACACCCACATTGACGAATAGTACATTTCTGCCCGATCGCTGTCGAATCATTCCAGGGCAGGATGGTTGATTGTACGGACACAACCAGATTGGATAAATCTTCAAAAATAATGATTGCTACTACTAAAAACTGGACTGGAATAAGAATTGATGGAATAAAGCCCGGCTTACTCCAGTTTCACTATCGCACACTTCTATAACATCTGAAAGGCAACTCAATGGAATTAGGATATCTTCATGTATATAATTTTCCCGCATTCCGGAGTCCAGAAAATCAGGAGTGACGTTCTGAAAATCGAAATATGTGAGGTTACAACGATTAGAACCCAATGGAACAAAAAAAGCGTGGGATGGTGGCGATTATGACCGTGAAATATTACAAAATCACCTTCATGACATCATGTTGGGGAGCACTCAACCAACCAAAAAACCACCGATGTATTAAACCATTACCAAGCGGAAGTAGATCCTATAAAATGAATTTTTATCATATTCACGCCTCATTGTACAACAAGAATTCAAAGAATTCTCATATTTTTTCTACAAAATATATCGCTACACCTCTTGTAGTTTTGATTCATTCGCTCAAAGTGGTTTCGATCCGTGATAAGAATGTTTTAATAACGTTATTTTTGGTAAAAACCTCTTACCTATGATTGCTGACAAAAAAATTATTTTCAAATTCATTCCAAAGAAGTTGATTTTCAAGCTGGAAGTATGGCTTATCAATAGCGACAAAAATCAAATCCAAGTCTGCGCGCCGCTCCATCTTTGTTATTAATAATCAGCACTTCAGAGTTTTGTTAACTCAGTTTGTTATACATAATTATGGTATGATAAAGCGACACCATCAAAAGGTAAGAACTGTTTTTGATAGATGCTGATGTATAAAAGTCAAGTATGGGAAGAAATTAACATTATACATACAAAACCGCTCATATTAGTCAAAGAAGTCACTGCACTCCGGTGAACTCAGCGAACTTCATCGGAGTGCGGCGACTTTTTTGATTGATTATGAGAGGTATTGTACAGAGACAAATGTTAGGCGCTTTTGCTAGCGTGATTCATTTGAATCTTTGAGAAAAAGAGGCTACTGCAATCAAATTACCTGGAATTTCGGCGTTTCCTTCTTTCTCATTTTTGTTGCACACACTAACACTTTGAACTTTGACAGCGAAAAATGACTCGCTGCCATAAATTCTCACTTACCTTTAACTCCCAAAATAGGCTTTTATTGTGACGGTAGTAATAATCTTCCAGTGGAACGAACTCGGTTTGCTCCTAAAAAAAATTCTTTGCTCAAAGAATTGGTACTGCCCACAGTCGTCACTTTGTCCTTATAAAGTTCAAAAGTTGACTGTAGTTAATTACACACCTGATTAGCTCACAGCCAATAAATTCGTTCTAGCGTCAATTACTTATTGGATACTAATAATCAAAATTTGTTTCACGCTCCTTTTTGAAAAAAAAGGTGCAGGTTTTTTTGCTTGTTTACGATGACCGCGGCTAACTGCACTCTCGCTCATTTAGTTTGACAAACGATCATCAACGCTTTTTCTAAGGGTTTTCCTCATATCATGAAAGTTTCATAACAAGCATATTATCTTGTGCACCTGACGACTTGAAACAACTTCTGCGACATGGCTATAGAACCAGGGCTTGTACCACCTTCCAATCCTCACGATGTCAGCAGAGAAATTTTTGGGTGGTCCATCAGAGAATCTAAATTATTTCTGAGTACTGGCAATTCGGCAGAGAATAAGTTTTCACTGAATTCTTTACCTTCCCCGCATCACAACTCCTGCATCTTCAGAAAGCTGTAAGCCTTCAACGAATTCGTTTTCCCGGCAGTTCGACTCTTCAGTAAGTTTGTTTTGCATTTCCTAATATATTCTATCGATGGAAAATTTGGAAAAGAAAAAAAAAGAGAATTATTTGCACAGTACCGCAACGGAGTACCATGCAGATGTCTATGTCTTGACTCAGTGTTTTTCGGCAGCTTACAGAACAAAAAATGCGCTCATTTCTCCTTACCTCTATTGAACCCGTACGCATGTAGGTGATTTTCACATATGGCTTGACTGGTATTATCCTCAAAGTAACAGCAACAAGTATTCCCAAAGACCCTTTACTCCACGGCACACCATAGAATAATGCCTGTGTTTCGGCGTCACCATTCTTCTCCTAAATGGCTCCTATCCAAAACGTTTGATTCAAGTGTAAAGCACAAATAAAAGAGTGTTCACCTTTGTGGCTACGACGATACTTCCATCAGGCATCACCAATTCATATGACTGGCAGATATGCTGAAATAAGCCGTACTTCCGACCAGAAGTGTCTACCCCACCACCGCAGATGAGATCTGAAATTTGCAGTTTCAATATTGATGTAGTCTACTTTACAGGCAAATTAGCTCCACGAATGCTCGGAAAATTAGTGATATGATACAGGCTTATCATTTATCACTATTCACTGACTCCACTGAGATATGGTGAGATTTCACCATATCTATTCTCTTTTTTTTTTGTTAGAACGTTCAAAAAATTGCATTTTTTGCCAAATGCGAATAGTATCAGAGGAAAGCGTGCTACTAAAAACTGCTTCCTCATGTAGTCCTATTTTGATGGGATTTTTGTTACAATAGACACTCTAAGCCGCGGGCTTATTACCGCTTGTAAAAAGAGCTTAAGGCATAGCACTTGATTCGATAGCAAACTTTGCTTTGTTGAGTTCAAAGTCCGTAAGCATTTCAAACACCGGCAGCATAATTTCAGAAGTGCTATGAAATTTCACTTTTGAAAGTGGGAGTTTCCTGCCCAAACTGACATTACCAGGTATTTTAGTCTTTAGAGTTGTATCTAAATATACTTGGTGTAAGCTGACAAAAGCAATTTTGAAGCTACTTTTGAAAAGATCTGAAACTTGGTGCAGCTGTGTGTATGCGAGCCTAGTATCAGTTTACAAAACGGACCCATCGTTAGATTATCCATTAAAAAGCAAATGCTTGAAAGAAAGCAGCTAGAAGGCTGGCCAAAATTATATGCCCACATGATGTTTGTAATTATCAAGGATTTTTCCTGGCTTCCGAAATCTTTTATGTACATACACAGGCAAAAATGTCAAATAACTGCTTTAGTCGAGGTATGACGCACTTCCAGAAAAAAATGCCCAGCTGGCATACGAAACGATGCAGTTCAAGGCTATTAAACTTCCTGGAAACGTCATTTCGAACATTCTTCTCATAGATCCGCTGATTCAGAAGTCTTGGCACAACTCGAACCTTCGTGAAAGATTCCTCCCTGCTTGTCGCTTGTATTGGCGAATATTTCGGCGCACACACCGTGCTAGTTCCAAGCTAATTTCGAAACGCCAGGCCCCATTAGGGTGCCTTCATACCGCGCCGGCAGCCGCCGCTAGCAGAACGTAGCAGCCCACAGCAGCCGCCAGCAGCCGCCAGCAGCCCGTAACCGCCGCTGGCCGCTTTTGTCATACAAGCGCAAAATCACCAAATTCTTACTATTTTAAATGCAACCGCCCACGCCCTCCATCTTCCACGCTTTTTCCTCCCTGTTGCCGCAATTTGATCTCATATATCATCATACTCTTCATTGTTGTTATTATCTTGTTACCGTAGATTGGTTATCCTACTGATGCTCAGTTTCCCTCTCGCAAATGAACCATATTTCGCCAAAGTTTCTTCGCGATGTGATTTCTTCTGACTTTGGATGCGTCCAGTTCCTGTAGGTTGCTATTTGTTAATTTTTAGGATGTTCTGCTTCAGTCATATCACATCGGCGTGGAAGAGGGAAAGTATGGGCAGGCGCACGCAAAGTACTACGAATTTGATGATTTTCGCTTCCATGACAAAAGCGGCCAGCGGCTGCTGCGGGCTGTTACGGGCTGCCAGTGGCTGCTACGGGCGCGGTATGAAGGCACCCTTACACTGGAGTCTCCTACATCACTTGTGAGCACTTTTAGTTGGTTTATTCGAAAGATGACACAATCTATTTGCTGTAAAGAGTGCAGCAGTTCTATTTTTGAACGCAAAAAAGCTATAAACTTTGCTGCTGTGTATGAACATACACACTATTCACATTGATTTGAACACTGTCGTCGTATTAATGAAATGGTGAAATTAATGCCGCGATAAGCTCTCAAAATCCAGAGCACTTCCTTTTAAAAGTGAGCTACATTTACAATTTTTTGTATGTCCAGTACATTGCTGTATTCAAACACATCCTACCTTGAACAGTCAGTCCTGGTTGCCCAGGGAAAAGCGGAACAGAGAAGCCCAGGGGAAGAAGAACTTGGGACAACTGCGACATTGTTACCATAGGTTCCACACGGATGTTTAATCCATTTGTGTCTACCTGAAACATAGCTTACTTATTCTCATTTTACTGTAAAGTTTAAAATTCCAATTCACAAAATCACAAAAAGAAACGTTGATTATATCCTCTGAAATCAGAAAGGTCTGCCATAACTATAGTTTGCTTTATTACAAAAAGTATAATGACCACTAAAAGTGACTAAAATGACAAAAAAGCAATATTGGTTTCTACGGAGTTTACGTGATGAATGTCATTCCTCAATTTATACTACAAACTTTGCGGCTGACTTTCAAAGGAATGATCAGGATTCAAGATAAACAACAGAGCAACAGAACATGGTCAATGATTAGACTGATTCTAGCTCTGACTTCTTCGTAAATAAAAACATTACCTCAAGTATGTCCCTCAGAACCCCAACATCGATGGGAGTAATTCCCTTTGCAGGAGGTGGCCGAAAGTCGAAAAAACCAGACTGCACTGGAAGCACCTTCGTACCACGGTGTGAAGCTGACCATTCGCGCATCTGAAGCTCTTGTGTAAAGTTCGCTTTACATTTTTAATCAATCACCTGCTTCTGAATCGTTGCCACTTTTCTTGCATGAGCCCTTGGCGCGATGCCAAGGGAGTAGACGATTTTGTTCCGTGTTGATGTGAACGCATCAGAGATCGTGCTGAGAGGCATTACAACGAAAACTAGGAGGGCCCACTGCAACCCGGCTATGCTCCGCTCCAAGATGCTATCGATGATTGGAGTTGTCCGCGCGCCCATGAGAAAACCTGCGGGATATTTACAGCCATTTGGTGAGACACGAGGGGTCATCGGCGAAGATGTGACGCAGTAACTTGTTATTAGGTCGTTCCATAAGTTGTGTTTATATAAACCAACAGAATCACCAATTTAGAGTAAAAATTAGTCAGTAATATATTTCCGAAGTAGCGCATCACCTTTTGGCACATTCCTCTTAGCTTCTCAATCTCAATTTTCCAAACGGCAGCACAGAGGGTCCCAAGAAAGTATTCTAAAAGCGCTCAAATTACTCACTGAAATTAAGGCATGCACCATTCATGAAGTTTGCGAGAGGGCGGAACAAATGATATCCTGATAGAGCGAGATTTGGGGAGCACGTTGAGTCTTGAAGTTCCTTCCAATTAAATCTTGCAGGACAGTTTTGACGACATATGCCGCATGAGGCAATTTTTGTCATGCAAGAAAACTCACTGGACTCTGCCTTTTGAGCTTTTTCTGGGTAGAACCTGCTTAAAACGGTGCAGTTGGATTGCTTACAGTATGGTTGATGTTGATCGTTGCCTGCTTGTCCAGCAATTTTCAGTGCAAGACGTCCTGCCCGTCCCCGAAAAGTCTTTTTCAGGACACCCTGCTCAGCCCCTGACCTTCTGTAGAAATCAGTTCTTTTTGTCTCATACTGATTTGCGAGCGCCACGTTCCATAATCGACAAAAAATCTGCGCAAAAAAAACATTTCTTTACGTGAGAAAAAATGCGCAGATATCTAATTGCTCTTTTTCGCCTTTCTAAATTTCCATATTTAGAAGCTAAAAGATCCGAGTGGATCAGCTTTCCACAGGAATTAATAGACACATTTTGAAAAGCACAATTAGCCTTCCCATTGATATTGTAGCATGCAACTTGCCGCAAATCAGCACCGCTCCTCAAAGAGATGAGGAGGAAATGAAAACGCTACGAAATTATGGAACGACCTAATAGTTTCGCAAGATTGTATGAGTGAAGGCTTTGTACAACGAACCATGAACATCAGTCAAGACATATGATAAACATTGTAGTAAATCATGCAAGACCCCATATAACACATGTGAGAGAGAGGGTTACTAGCTAGCTCCCCAAGTGATATTTACTCAAATTACCTTGAGTGACAAACAAACAACGGTATGCATTTCTTCATGACATCGTACATTGACAGTCATCAATCTGGGCACAGAACTCTTACTGTGTGGGGTAACAACTTGATTTTGTCGGTGTTTTTCTGAGAAAACGAAAATTTCATAAATTTGTGTAGCCATAGTTCCAGAAAGTTCCTTGGACAACTTGAAAATTATATTACAAACATAAAAGTCTCCTAACATCTCGCTTCATATACGATTTTCCAACAAACGAGGAGTTTCCATTTTTCTAAAAACTAAACGAGGAATTTCCATTTTTCTAAAAACCTAAACGCTGTAACATCACATTCGCTTTAGAGATTTAGCGTCGAATGGCGAATGCTCGTACTGAATCTGAACTCATTCTACAGAGACTCGGAACTAGTCAACACATTCAGACGCTAGTTGCTAAAGTTTTCTTCAACCCGTATGAGCGATGCAGTGATGTCAAAACAAAGATGCAATTGTTCTAGCTCGCGAAAATTACACTCGTGAAATGTGATGAACGACAGATGTATCAAAAGAAGCTGTATTTTAGCTTGCAAAAGCTCTGTCGCACCACCAATGAAGATCATAGATTTTGCTCACCCACGGATTTGTACAAACTTCATTTTATTTATGTAGTTAGAGGAAATCATACTCTTTGTAATGTTTCCTTTGCTGCTCTCTAATAAGGGGTAGCTTTTGTGATATAAGCAGGAGAATAAATCACTCCATCTTCCGTTATTTCTGACTGCTAAAAATCTGAAACTTGCGATAAAATTCGGAACTAAAGTTTGATACACCTTTCTCAACTGTACAGAGTTTGTGATGAACGAGCATCTCTTTGAAGAATTATGATTTTTTGGTAAACAATACAAAGCAGCAAATTCAAATTTCTGGCGCTCTTCCCGAAAATCACTCTGCGGAGCTTCGGTCAATTTACACAAACTTTGCACTTTTGGAAGGGGTGGATCAACGTACTTATACAATTGCAGCTCGCTAAAATTTTTATCGCAAGATTTAGGTTTTTAGCAGCCTAAAGGGCCGGGCATACTTCAAGCGGTTTCAGTCGCAACGCGATTTGGCCGTATTCCAACTGTCCAGGTAGGGCATTTTATAAATCCACGCTAGTTTTACAAACTATGTGCAGTTTGCTAGTGTTGCATCTGAAGACTTCTGGCGAATTGCCAAGACGCGTCGCCATTGAAATCGCATGAAGTATGCACGGCTTTTAACTTGAAATGACCAAAGCTGGAGTGATCTTATTCTCATGCATCTATCTCAAAAGTCTATCCCTAACTAAAAAGCAGCAAGGGCACTGTTCCGAAGAATATGGATTCCTCTAACTAGCAAAAAAGCTTATGCAAATTCGTTCGTTGATCAAGAAGTTACAATTTTTCATAGGTGCGACAAAGCTCTGTATCAACCCAATATAAGTGCATCAACAAACTTCAGAGTATCACTCTATGTAATGTAAACCCATAGTAGATTGGAGCAAACTGATCACAAACATCTGGAGTAACAAGAACACGAATTGATTAGACTGCAGCAAAGAGCTGTTGACCCTTCGGAAGCCATGACATAAGTGCAGTCGCACCGAGTACACCACGCTTCTCACACCTCCTCAATCCTTGTTCACCCAACAAAATTGAAATTAATTACATAAAGGGGTCACTCAATAACGCATGATGCTAAAAGCGAGATGGATGTGATGAACTCTCTTTCAGGCTGATCAGTGTTGAAAATAAATGGAAGAAGCACTTATGATCTGAATGAAATGATTACGCTCCTCAAATTTACTTCTTTGACCGGAAAAGCATTAAGGTGGATGATTGTGGGCAGAGACAAGAAAGTCGAATTTTTGATGAAAGTATAATAATATGAAACGGCGTAACAACAAAAGACTCTGCAACTGAAGATTGAAGCTGAAATAAAAATGATCGACTTCAGCATATAAACATCAGCATTTTAACTTGACCATTTTGAATGATTAAAGTCATAACCAGTTAAACCACAGCAGATAGGGTTTAGATTACGTGCGGTTTTTTGCACCGAATATATTTATTTCTAGTCTCTAAAGCCGCTGATCGGAACCTTCATAAAGATGCCTGACTTAGCAATGAGTGCCAAAATAGACTTGCCGAGTAATGGCAAAACCAGGATTTTTGCACAGTATTTTTAATTGCGAGCAGTACAAATTCTATACTCTACTGCGAGTTGTCAAGACGGAGCAACCATGATTTTTTTTGCAAAGAATGACGTTGATAAAAGTGGAAATCGAGCAGTCCTTTTTGAAGAGTCAAATGGTCAAGTCAACACTCTTTATATCCACAGAAGAAAACAAAAAAATCGCTCTCAAACAGATGAAAAGATTACTGAGCTATGTTCAACAATAAAATATGTAGAAAATATGAATACAGTGAGCCTCTTTTGAAAATACTATTCGAACTCATCTGTAAGCATCACATCCATTCTAAAATGAAAATTGAGAAACAAGGAAGGTTATTACTTTACGTGCACTGAGTGATTAGTTAGACGCCAGAAAAGTGAGGGACAGCGACGACACGTGAGCTAGCAGAAAAACTATAGTACGAAACTTTCATAAGGTGTACTTTGTCCTATGATGCGGCTCCTCATAAAAAATGATCGAATTTTAAGAGCAAAGTATACACGTCTACGCCTGTGATAAATAGTCAAAGTATAATATAATCGTGTACGAGGTGTTATAAGCAAGATTGCAAGCTGATGTGTGAGTATTGATAGCATTTACAATAAAGAAAACAGCGCTTTCCAAATATCAAAATTAGTTTTTGAAAAATTACCAAATATCGGAAATGCAGAAAGGTAGGAATACGGTTTCATAAAAGCAAAGTCTAGACAAACTGGAGGGACTTTCTTCTCGTTCTGGCTTTTTTTTCCAAGTATGTACTTTCGAAAACATCAACATACCTAGAAAGCGATGAACATTCACAAAAATTTCGCTCTTACTTATGTTATGAGCGATTTTGAAGTTATGTACCAGGAGTGTGGATGTCAATGAGATTTTGTCGTTTATACAATAGTATAGAAAACTGTATGAGATGGAATATTTAGTTACTACCTAGAGACAACAACACCATGACTGCCTTTGCTTGCGTAGTTATCTCTACACGGGTTCCGTGTACAAATTGAACTTGCTGATAAGCTGGTGACTAAACAGTGTTCGCTATTACCTTTTTCAGAGAAGATTATTGCGTCGTTCAACGAAGTTCGGTGTCCTGCACATTAGTGTGGCGAAAAGGGTGATATTCTTTACTTGTTTACAAATTAGAGGATGATGAGATGAGGTCAGAGTTGTAGAAATAGAATACTGTTATATAATTTAACCGGACATAGCCAATTTCAACTCTGCTTCATACACCAACCGAAAAATAAAATGGATGAGCAGTACGTCAAAGAGCTGGAATGACCGCCAAGAGTGAAGAATGAGTGAAAAGTTTCAATAAAGATTGTTTCAATCTTCATGCCTAGACCGATTACTTGTCTTTTTTCTCCGATTTTTTGTGATACGTAGAGAGAAAAACGAGAGTAGGCATGGACACTGGTTTGAAGGTAAACAAACAACCGGTGTTCGAAATGGCGATAAAACTTCGATTGATCAATGCGACGGTCTACGCTTGAAGTTTTGAGGAAAACGTAAGAATTCAAAGTATCCTCACTTGTGAGTGTTTTGCAAAGTTGATAACAACTAGAGGAGTTTAGATGAAAGCGAAAATGCATGAATAAGGAACCAAATAAAAAAATTTCGTGAAAAAAAGTAGAACGGAAGTGGTAGTTAATGTGCAGCGATTGTATCGACAGTGTGTTGTCTGCCTCTAAGATCGATTAGAGCAAGTTATAGACTACTAGGAGAGATGGAAGCTGTTGCAGATCACTTTCTAAGATGTCCCAAAGACAATTAATGAGAGAGGATATGATTAATGATGGGCAGAGCCGCAAAGTAAACTGCTGTAAGCTTGTTATCAGAGAGCCTACTGCATAGCGTGCACCTCGAAAAGCAAACAAAATTTCGGCCTTATCGCAACAAGTTTGAAGAAAATGGCCCATAACTCGTCGTACCTTGGTCTTTATCCTCAAAATTGAAATTTGAACCAAAATTCAGGTACTATGTAAAGCAGTCATGAAAAAAAATGACACACGTTTTCTGCGATCTTCATTTTCGTTTGAATGATTTGCGATTATATTGCACCAAAGATTTTGATGAACTGCGAAACCTTAAAGGGCAGTGTCCCGGCAGATTCGGGCCCTGGGGGATACTGCTATGGTGGGGTTCCTAATCATCCCACTGATCTTCAGACGCAGTCCGGCTGGTTGATGTTCCCCCCGGGCCGAGAAAGTAGCCATTGAACCGGTGCGCGCTCGGACGATTCGCTTACCGTTCGGCGCGGGACCCCACGACCGCTCTCCCGCATTGTGCATGCTATTCAAAGCAAAATTTACAGGCAGAAGGGCCTTCGTGCCAGCCCCCCCCCCCCCCCAACTTTCCAGTGAAATTCTGGTCCGAGCTGCCTTCTACTGGGTAAACGCCCCAAAAAAGGTCTGTTTAGCCGTTTCAAAGCTCAAATTCGGGGTCTACTGGTCGAAAAGGCCCAATACATGCAAAAACATGGAAGTGCAAAATCTGCCGGAGCACTGCCTTAGAGCACATGGTCAAGCAAGAGATGTTGGTGAGGAAACTAGATATGACTTTCCTTTATCGCCTTTCTCCCAATCATGACTTCACTTCTATAGCAAGATATATAACAGAAAAATTACAGAAAACCACGCGGCTTATAAGAGAAACCCATTTTTTTGTGACAAGAAGCAGTTTGAAGCGATTATATACGGCGGACGCGGGGCATTGAGTTCGCTCACCTCAAAACGAGTCATTCGCCTTCCTTCAGAACCTCAGTAAGCTTCCAGGTACAGCTAAGTTCGGCTACATACGTTACACCACGAAATGAGCAATCCCATACATGGATGACGGTGCCTTCTCTCTCCCCTGATTATGTACAAGACGGACAATGGCAATTTTTGAACAATTTTTCGTTTTGGTGCTCTCAAAGGTTTGATTGTCACAGCTTATGAACGGATGAGAAGAGAAACGGTCTTCGCTCTCAAAGCTTCAAAGTTTGATACATAGCTTTTTCTTTGTTTCCTGCCACTGTCTTAGCATTGTTGGATAGTTACGATCATAAAACCATTAGCGTCCTAACCATGCATCATATAGCCCACTATTCAGTGCATTATGTTTTCCAAAGCTAGCCGGCTATCGCACATTCAAGCAGCATTTTCGGAATACAATGTATGGTTACAGCCAAAAGCATCACTATTTAACTACTGTATTATTTACGCGGTCATCTCAAAAATGTCTATAGCACAAGGAAATGGTTATTAAATGATGTAAAGTTTCAGCACAGCGAACGGACAACATCATGCGTAGGACGCCTTGATTTGGTTTTTAGGAAACAAGAAGTAAAACAATTTTTAAAAAGATTCAGATAAAGTTATTACCAGCGTAACACTCCCTCCTAAAATTGCCTACCTGTGCTTTTCCTGCGAAAAATGCGCTATATCTTATTGTTACATAATTACATACAGCCAGATACTCGGTGTTCACAATCATGATCTTCATTCGATAATAGCATCACTCGTATTATGCTTCGATATTCATTCGTTCGAAAAATTTTTAAATATAAGTTATTCGATTTTTGAAAATTTTTTGGACGAACTAGTATAATGTCCGAATTTCATATTATTCAAAATCGAATATTCGAATATGCGCCATCCTCGATTCGAAAATTTGAATGCAATATTCGGATATACAAGAAAGCTCGCGTATGAAACATGCGAATACAAAACCGCTCACATTTTTTGAAAAATAGACGCGAATGTATCATGTATGGACATGTACGGACATGTCCATACATGTATGGACATGTCCATACATCAGCGTCGCGTGGCCATATCTCGCTTCAGAGTGGACGAATTCTGAATACAAGCGCTCACGGAGAAATTTCGACGAAATATGCGATCTTTACATTTTGGGCAAAATTCACGAGGACGTGTTTTCGTAGGCTCGTAACTCGGCGAATTTAACAGACTGGAGCCTGAGTAATGCACGATTCGATAGCACAATTCCTAGTAACTTTGACTGAGAAAAGCAAGCAGGCAAGGTTCCTGACAGATACGCGAGAAGTGCGGCCAAATTTACGGACTTTCGTGATGCAGTTTCAGTCACCTCACCGTATCTCTCCAAAAAGACCCTGTAATCCTCAAAGACCACGATTTTCGTAAAGAGCGTGTTCGAAAACCTCTATAAGCGAAGTTTCCTTACAATTCAAGAGCATCAACATTTTGACCAAAATCCATCGGCGAGCTTCCGGAGCGTCAAACGAGAAAAAATGGAATAACCCGAACATATTCGGAAAACTTGCTCGTAGAGGTTATGCGACCTGCTGTTCGAAACTCAAATCTGCTTAGCAAGATAGCTTCGTATCCTGCGGATATGGCGATTGAAATTTGGGATGACAAGATTTTTCCACAATTCACCAGCCGTTCTATTTCCTTTGAAAAGAAACCTGCGGCTACTATTTAGCACATCATAATCTACAGAAAAAGTGCTATCGAAAGATCCTTGCTGGAATGTACTCGGGTCAATGCTCGCTGCTTTACACCTTCGCGAAAAGACGTCCTCAGAAAGATTCAAGAATACTGAAATCGAAATATCAAGGACATGCTGTACATAAGAAGATTCGCCTTGATGAGCTGAGCAAGGCGCCGTTTTCGGATTCAAAATATACTTATTCCGAAGGAAGTTATGGCGAGTAGAATTTAAATACGCGTGATTTTTCCAAAATTCATTAATGCTTCTATCTCCTTTGGAAAGAAGTCTGAGCCCATTTCTAGCGCACAACAATCTACAAGAACAGTATTATCGAATAGTACTTAGTAAAGTCTTCTATGTTAGGTAGGCGTTGCTTCACATATTCGCGAAAAGACGGAATATCGAAGACATCGTATCCCCACTTCCAATATATCAGAAGATTCTCCGCGCCGAGCTGAATCGAATGGTGGCTTTGGATTCAGAATTTGTCCACTCTGAAACGAGATATGGCCACGCGACGCTGATGTATGGACATGTCCATACATGTATGGACATGTACGGACATGTACGGACATGCATACATGTATGGACATGTCCATACATGTCCATACATGTCCATACATTCGCGTCTATTTTTCAAAAAATGTGTGCGGGTAAAGATTCTAACACTGCATGTTCGAATACGTACTTTTCTCTTGCTCGAATATTCAAATATTCAAACAAATGTTTTTCAAAATTTATCGAATCTTCTAATATTTGAATGATTTCTTTCGAGATTCTTCGTAATCGAATATTCGAATAAGCCAATATTTTCTCGATTGTGCGAATGAATGAATATTGGAGTGAAGGTCTTTTCCACTTACTGGATTATTTGAATAATCGAATGAATTCCCTTCCTCAGATATTCGACCATTCGAATATTCGTATAGTCAAAAATGATAAAGTAGTTACGAAGATTCGGAATTTATGAATATTCGGATTCAGCTGTACCGCTTAATGGATTATGTAACGTATTCAAGAAGTAATTCGCTCAGTACAGATAAGTTCCAGCTGAACCGATTCATATAAAAATTAAGGTGTCAATAGAAGAGGGACTCCGCCGAAAGAGGAACCTTAGTCACCGGAATTCTTTAGCAATGCTTCCAGTCGACTTGGTACCTTGTAGTAGGTATGGCTGACACTAAATCTTGGTGGTGGCCGTTGTTATGAAGAAATGCATATCACACTATATCACACTCGGAATCGCTATAATTATAGATATCATTCCTTGCTATGAGTCATCTTTAGAAAGCGTAAAGCATACCTAAATTAGATGCCATTTTCAACAAGCGCGTCGTACATTTTTGATAACCAACTATAAGTGACTTGAAAGGTCCAGGAAAAATGCTTAATTACTGCTGGGAACATAACGATGTTTTCTTAGAACATACCACATTGAGCTTCTATTCGAAAATATTGATAACATGCGTGAAGCAAGCATTTGAAGGTACATAATCTCTCTTCCGTACATAATTTTTCAGCTGAATTTCTAGCACAAAACTTCTATAATAATAAATTACATGTTTTATCAAAGATTACTTCTTCTAGTTACTAATGAGCATTTCTTGAGTGAGCATCCTCAACTTCTTTCCCATAGTCTGCTGGCATTGTGTCAAGTCAACATTACTGACATTCACCATTTGTCGTTTTCTTTTGTTGTTCTTTTTTCGACAAATGCGAGATTCTCTCTTCTACCAAAGATTTCGAAATATGTGACTATGCAACTCAAAAACATATTATCAACTCAAAAATTGTACTTCCAAGGAAATAATTATTGAAATTACAATTGGCAACCATAGTTTAGCAAAATTGCTATTTAACTGGCCGTCTTCTCAGTCGCTTTAGTTGTTGGGTTAGTCGCCACCTAAAGAGATATAAACTAAGTAAGGTCAATCAGACAAAACAAGCAGGTGAGCGGCAAATAAACTAGCCTTAATTGCTCTAGCATTTAAGCTCTTGAACATTCTCTTATTCACCATGTTCCCTCCTTGCATTCGACCGTAATCATGCTGACCCATATTCCTTGCGCCTTGCGTATTAGGGTCCATCATTGACATGAAGCCCATACCCGAGCTTATCCGATCTTTGCCACTCTGCCCGTACTGCCCATATTGCCCACGCTGCCCATACCGTCCATGCTGTCCATACTGTCCATACTGTCCATACTGCCCATACTGCCCATACTGCCCATGTTGCCCATAGTAATCATTTCTACGCCCTGCAATATTACCTGCGTTTACTTCAGAAGTTTTAATGAATGTTCTAAGAAAGGTATTCTATACTTGAAGCAAATGCAATTCCTCTGTCAACTGCTTTTGCGTTTGAGATGTTATAAACAGCTTTGACTGTACAAGTGAAATTTACCCTGCATACCGTACATTCCCATGTTCGGATACTGATTCGACCAGCCTTGTCGTCCCATAGAACCGTATCCTGCAGAGTCGGACTTTCTCGACCATGTTAAAACAGATAAAATGGTTGTCTAACATGTGGAGCCAGCCCAATGATTTGCCCTTACTTTTCTCATACAAAGGGGAATTATTGGGTGGGTCTAGGAAGAATTTCACCAGTCTAAATTCCTTTGTTTACCCTGCATACCTTGCATTCTCGTTTGCGGATATTGGCTTGGATATCCTTGTCGCCCGTAAAACCCATACGATCCTGCAATATCACTTTGAGATCAACGTCAGAAGATGTTAAGTTACCACTGAGTCATTTGTCGCTTCGGTCCGTACGTCATCCCCTCTCGGAAGGCTGTGCGGGGACGCCTTATATCTGGGTTTTCTGGGATTCCGTCGCCCTCATGTTACTCATCTTTCGAAGGCTGTACTACCTTACCTCAGCTTATAAATGACAGTTCACTGCCATATAAGTTGAGTTCTCTATGGTTTGAAATCATTTTTCTTTCCACAAACTCAATGAAAACATCGTAAAGCTGTACTCGAGAATCTCACACAGCACTGCTTCGCATGTTTTTGGTATGATAAGTGAAAAAATTTCAGGATGACGAACTTCGAGTAACTACTGCTTGGATGCCAGGATTTATCGAAATATCCATTAATTTCAATTTCTTATTGAAAAATGAGCAGCACTGTCATTTTATCCTCAGCGCAACCTTACGACTTCTTCATTCAGTTCAAAAAAAGATTGATGACTCCGAATAACCGCGGTTCCCTTTGAGTAACTCAAATAAACCATCAAAAACTCAGCTTATATACGCTTCATAAGTTCGTAGAGTTTTCATTCTCGTTATCATCTCTTTGAGAAGCGGTTGATTTGCCGCAAGCTGCGTACAAGATTGGAAGAGCTGATCATACCCTTTGAGGTAAACTGATTGTTTTTGATAAAAAGATGATTCCTTAATCCCTTAGCTTCCAAAGAAAGATTTATCAAAATGCAAAAAAAGCATTTTTGGCACTTGCTCATTTTTTTCTTATCAAAAAACGTTTTGCGCAGGTTTTTGCCGATCATGAAAAACGTCGTCTTCTCGTCAATATGAGATAGGAAAGGAGTGGGTTGCCAAAATACTAAAAGCTTACAAAGTGAATTCTGAACAAGACTTTTTGCAGTATGGGCAGGAGAATCTGCACCAAAGATTGCTAGGCAAGAACAGGAAAGAACCGTCTTGTTAGACGGTCACCCATACCATATGCAACCCGACTCTGCACCGTCCGAACGAGTCCCTACTGCAGAAAAGGCCTAATAAACTCAGTGAGCTTTCCTACGCGACAAAACTTAGCCACCTACAGCAAACGCCGTCATAGCTGTCTTGCGGGACTTGGGAGGGAGGTACATTAGTATCCAGTGTACTCCTGAGATCTCGCTTTAGCATATTAACATCTGTTCCAGTCTATCACAAATCATATGAACGTCTTTGAGCTTGTTTTTTGAGCCTTGAGCCAAGATTGATAAAACCTTTATTTTAAGAATTAAAAAATTAAGGAGCACCTGGATGGTCTTCAAAAATCTAAAACATCCACGCCACTAGGCGCCCATCGCAGCAATGCCATGAAAATCAATTTTTCGAAACATCTGTCACGATCCTATCGCGAGAAACTGAAGTGGTAGCGCGGAAAACACTAGAGGAGTTTTGAATAACATCCAAGAACCCAAGAATGAATTGCAAAGACGAATGCATCGCTGTGACCAATGAAGTGGCTCTATATCAAAACCTCTGTGGGTTTTGATCTATGAGGTCGAGGTCAGATGCGTATAAAAGAGGCTATTTTGAGGGCCACGCATACTTAACGCGACTTCGGTCGCGGCGCGATTTGGCAATTCGCCAGAAATGTTCAGATCCAACACTAGCAAACTGCACATGCATAGTGTGTATAAATCACGTGGATGGATAAAATCTTCTGTACATTTGAAATGTGCTTACAGTGAGTTATAGACAGTTGGAATCTTGCCAAATCGCGTCGCGACTGAAATCGCGTGAAGTATGCCCGGCCCTTTGGTAATGAGGGCATTATCTCAGTCGGTGGTACTCGCTCTGTTTACCGTTAAGTCTGTTGAGGTGAGCGCTAGCTTGGTCTGTCCTTTAGTACCGTAGTAGTGTTTGTCATAATGTTAAGTTTGTTTTTGTAGGCTGACAAGGTGTTTGAGCGGATAAGTCGCAATGTTTCTGACTTTCTCAGGCTCTGAAGAAGGTGACGCCGCCGAAACGTTAGCCCAAAATATAGGTTTTTGTCAATTTTGGCTCAAGGCTCAAAAGCTCAAAGTTATACGCGAGCCGAGATTCAGTGACAATCGGACATGGAATGTCAGCAGATATGAACGTCTGTTTTGATTTTGAAGACGATCTCAGGCGCTGTTAGACGGCTTTTTTTTGGGGAAACGGGTCCGCTGAGTTCTGGAAAAATGGAACTGAAAATCTGACTGCATGGTTGCAGAAGGTTGTGCGCAACGTCGGAACATGCATTATCGACTAAATTTTGCTGGAATTCTGTCTTATTTTATTATAAAAACTCTACGAACAATGACCTAATAGCATGCGTTGCCATTCATACGCCAAGCTATTGGGGTTGTAGGAAGTGCAAAAGATGGCTAGAAAACGATAAATGCGCATTCCAAGCGCACTGAAATAAGAGGCGACTTTGCAGCTCTCCCCGGCACGTGCATTCGGTTCTTGAAATGTCTCTTGCACCACGCACAGTACACCACAACTTGCACCTAGCAGCTGCCAATTCCCACAAATTCTTTCCAAGTTCTATTAACTAATTACCAGCGAATCAGTTTGCCATGCGCAATATGCGAACTATTCTGAATCCGAAAATCCACACTGGAAAGCGCGAAAACGACGTAAAAGGGCTGTAACAGTGGAGGGAAATCAGCAAGTGGGCGGGGTCTTCCCCACTGTGAATTCACGCTCCCAGCTTCCAAAGCGATCTTCTCGGTTCCGATTTCAAGTCATGCATTCGCACCTGCGGTGGAGATCTCAGGGCGCTAAAGGAATTGGGAAGATCGCTCCAGAAGCTGGGATTGCGAAATCCACAGTGGGGAGGACCCGCCCACTTTCGATTTCCCTCCTCCGTTAGAGCCCTTTTTTGCCGTTTTTGCGCTTTCCAATGTGGATTTCCGGATTCAGCATAGCGAATAGGCCCGGGTAAGCACAAAATCTCAAAATCGACTTTTTGCCCGGACACTGCCTTTAAGTCGACTGCACGAAATCGCCCATATCACTGTAGGCGAGGCTCGGCTGCCGAAATGGATTGCGGGCTTGCTTAGCATTCGCGCTCATGAGTTACCACAACGCCAGTATTGGCCGCGCCAAAGCACGCTCGCTTGCGTTCAGATGAGGGCGATTTGGGCTCTTTCTTGCACTCAACTTTACGTATAACTCACCTGCGCGGTAATTAAAGAACTAAACAAAATCCAGCATAGGTGCGTCGCACATATTCAGTCAGTGCAAAAGTTGTCAGTTTTTCGAAATGATCAGCAAATCTCGTACAATAAATAAACAAACATTTCAAGCTGTATCCAATGCAGAATTTTTTCCCTTTCCAGTGCTTATCTGCAATGTAATTGATTGAGAGAGAGGAGCTTAATTTTATACATTTGCTTGGGAACAAACCCTTCCCTTACACCATGTCTGACTTTTGCTAATTTTCAAAAGTTTTACTCTAGACTTCAGAGGAAGCTTTAACAGCCAGCGATAGCAAACCAGCGGGTATAGCTCATCTGAAGCAATTTTTTGTAGCTTTGTGGCTTGTATTTCAGAATTTCTAACAGTAAGATATATCAGGTTGTTCCGAAAGTTTTGTCAGTTTTTTCAAACCACTATAAAACCACGCACATGAAGACCCAAATGAATTTCAGCATGCATTCGATGCAGCTTTTCTTCCTCTATCTTAAGGATACATACTCGAACCATAATCTTGTATGCTTTTTTGATAGCTGCCAAAAATCTTCACCCGTCAATTTTATGTGCTCGAAGTTCGGCTAATTTTCAAAAATTTCATTTCAATTCGGGAAAGGTTAAGTATGGATAAAATAGAGCAATTCTCGGACTACAACGCATAATTTTTATATTTTCTTACTCTGCTGTTTTTAGCTTTAAAAAATTATTTTTTTCGAAGGTCACAATTTTGGCCAAGTCATGAAAGACGCAACTGCAGCAAATACATGGAAGCTTTTGAAATTCCTGTGATTTGAAACACGATTTTTATTAAACATTGTTTATTCAATATAACCAAGTATGATTTGCTTTGAGAAAGCAGCTTTCTGGAATTTTCGATAATTTTGGGTGGTAAATGTAATCAAAAAGCCGCGGTTTTTATTAAATAAATGGTTATAACGGACTTAGTAAACGTGGCCCATGTAATCTAAAATGGATACAATGTAGCCAAAGGTTTGCTCTACATAACAGTTACGAGCGCTCCTTGAAAACATCAGGATAAAATTTTTCGAATCTTAAGAAAGATTTGGCGTTAGCTGAGCTGCTCGAAAAGCCATGTCGATAACATCGCAAATACACGATAGATCAGAGAACAAATATAGCTTCAAGAAAGAGAATAAAAATCGGAATCGAATGGTACCTAAGACATCTATGCATTGATGTTCTGTAAGTTTTAGTGAGCGATAAAAAAAACGGACAGAACTTTCGACAACCTAATATTTTTTGAGTGATCTTGATCAAATTTTATACTCGGGCTATTCTAACCTAGTAGACCATAACATGGCAAACATTGCAGATACCATTCAACGCAGCATCTTCTCTTATTTCTAACAGCTTTATTTCATGGCGAGAAACGCGAATTCTACAAGAAAAATAGCAGTATTTCTCAATTTCGCATTGCGCACTGACGTACCAGTTTCAAAATCTTAATATTTTGAAGCCCAAATCGTTCATTTGCTTCGCAAGAGTGATAGTGATAATGGAGTTTCGAAACCACATTTCTGATGATATTGCAGGTTTTGTGCAATTATCTATTATGGGATTTTTCCAAAGCTCAAGAATTTTGGAAAATTATTTAGGAAAATCCCAAAAAACAGCTTATAAAGAAGAAAAATTGCTGAAGTTGGCAAAAGGTTTACCCTATCTGCTGGTTATCAAAGCTCCCTCAAAAGTCTCAAACAAAAGTTTTGGAAATCAACGAATTATAGGGTGTATGCCCTTCTGAACCGCTTCGTCCTAGCGCCAATTACTCTGCCCGGGCGGCGCTAATTACTCTGCTTTTCTTATAATCTATCAGAGTTTTTAAATATCTCTGAGCATTCCAAAGCAAGCGAGGTACACAAATAACGATAGTGACTATGTTTGGATTATGAAGACAAAAAGTTGGAAAAGTTCCATGTTTTTTTACTGGCCTTTCGTGTTTCTTGCCATTCAAAACACCATGAAGTTTGCACGTGTAAGCTGAAGAATTTACCTTAGCCGCCCATCTATAACATTTTTGTGTTTCATGGGAAATTCAGAGGTCTCTAACGACAGCATAGTTCTCGCCTACCCACGCGCCGCTGTAGCGCCGACCAATCAGAGGCCGCGCACTAATTAGGCTGCTAACGCTAGCGGTTCAGAAGGGCCGTCTCCCCGAATTATATGCACATCACTGGATGCATCTCAATGAGCTTATTCCAAAGCTACCTTTCTTATCTGCTAAGAGTTTCTCTAGAAGAAGCTATGGGCGGTATAATAGATGTGAGGTTAATGGGGTTTTGATGCGTAATGTGCTATGACAACCAGCTTGGGCGTGACTAATTGGCATGGTTTTGAATGAATTTACTACAACGTAAACTTGCCTACATCCGAAAACATAAATGAGTGTTTTCAAGTAGTTTTCGAAGATGTGGTACTGGATGGTTGCAAACTTGGACATTCATACGCTCATAACTTCTTCTAGAGAGAAGCTTAGCAGATATGGAAGCTATCAAGGCGCATCTAATGAAGCGCATACCATTTCGGTTCGCCACCGCGATCTGATATCCTTCTCTTGTCAGTACTCTCTCAACGAATCCCATTGGGATTATATTGGGTTGTTTCAAAAGTTCTACCCGTTTTCGATACCTTTTTTGAAGTGCCGATTTTGGAGGAAGAAATAATTCTTCATAAACAATGCTTAGTCATTCAAAAGCTCTCTTTTCTAGTTTTTCAGGCATATTTTCGTTTTCATAGATCTTTGTTCGCTGTGTGGTTGCGTACTTTGAAAAGACAGCAAAACAAATGTAAAAATTTTCGTCTTTACTCTATAGCCGTGAAATCTACAGCCAAAAGAAAAATTTCTTTTAAAACATACATAATATTTGCTGACTTGTGCTACGAAACGCACATCGACGTTTGATTTCAGAAAAATTTTGAACCTACAAATTGTTAGCTCAAACATAACCTGTCTTTATGGTCCCTTCAAGTCGCATGGAAATCATAAACATACTGCGGTCGCGGAACTTTTACTCTATATAGTAAGATTAGAGCTAGAACAACTGCTACTAGAAGAACGAAAAGATTACCTGGTATGTCAACGGCGAACAAAATCAAAAATGTCAAAAAATTGCATTTTTTGCCGCCTCAAAAAGAGCAAAATAAGTGGGTTCTTTCGGATTTTTCAGCACAAAATTTTATGAAAGAGTTTGATGAGATCCAAAGTTAGCGGTACTGCTCAGTCGACTATGGGCTACACTGTGAGCAGTGCTTGTGCAACTTAGCTAAATTCCAAATCAAGTTATGCTTTTGCAAAGTGAAGGTTTCTTCAAGGAGATGTTCCTCGATTTTCGCCTATAAGATCTTCTCCAATGTTACTGCAATAATCTTAAAGAGTGCGCAGAATAGACAAAGATTTGCAGATTGTAATACAGTTCATAGCAGTTGCAAAGATTATTTCTGAGAAGAGTTACGGTGAATCAAAATCAAAGTTCGAAAACGGGTAGAACTTTTGAAACAACCCAATAGCAGCTGGAAAGGGAAGGAAATTTTGCATTGACGCATTTTGAAGTTTTTGTTTATCTTTATTCTAACCTATTTGTCGATAGATTTTGAAAATCCGAAAATCCCACAAAACTGTTGCGCTGACCTAATGGACACGATTGCGACTCTACAAGTTACTTCCGCCGTGGGCGAGAAAGGCGTCAGAAGGGTAATTTGTAGTCACAAAAATGGTTACCTTACCTGAACTCTGCGTACGCAGGCTAGAGATCTGACACTGTGGAGCCATTGCGATGCTGACCCATGGTGAATATGGGCTTCTTTTTTTCAAGCGAAATTTGGTGGCATCTTTGGCATAGTATTTGCTTCACGCGCACGTGCTGTCGGCACCTCATTGCAGCACAAAAACCCAGCAATCTACTAGACTATATCTACATCGCCTCCATGCGACCTGCGAGATAAGCGAATAAGCGAATGTTAACCTTTTGTAATGGGGCCAATCAAAGAAATCCAGAACATATCGCTTTTCACACATACCCTCTGTCTCATTCACAGTGTTGCAGAAGAACTCAAATGTGTTTACATGTCTGCGACGTCATTCAGTAATTAGGGTGGGGGGGGGAGGGTTCACCTAGAGAACGAAAAGTTGCCGCAACTTCGTGACTTTCACTTGCATAAGCTTCCTAAAATCTCTTTACTTGTTTATGCCTATCATCACCTCCACGTTTTAACTTGACACTTTTCAAGGGGTAGAGGCACCTCAGTTAGGTACCGCCTACGCGCACTGCTGGTCCCTTCGTCCTACTGTTGTGCATCGTGTTAAGACAGTAGTCCGCGGAGGAGGTGCCTAATTGGGGTGTTCGTTCCTTCACTCGATAACACGTATGGCAGACCCCTCCCTCCCTCCCCCCTCCCCCCAAGCATTGTTGTAGACGTTATGATTGCGACGACAATTGGATACTATGAAGGGCCCACTTCATCAAAACTAAATCTGGACGAAATAACTTGAATTCATTGTAACAGTTATCACATATGGGACATATTCGGATTTCGTAAGAATTAGGAATGCAGGGACTGTGCGAGGGGTGGGGACGAAGATGTGTTGTCAGGAATATTCAAATTTATGGATACAAGATCTAGGGTTAGGGCAAAATGGTCGACCATGGAAATATGCTGCGACATGTAATTTCTTTTTTCGTATTTCGAATTTTTTTACTTTATCCATTCATTTGAGCAATAAATTCATGTACAGCATGCCACGATGGAGCTAAGTCATCCATTTTTAGAACGTGATGTGATTGATGTGGAGGAGATAGTAAACATAAACGAACGAAACGCGAATTAGTGGTAATCTCAGCAAAGGGGAACAGTTGCGAAGTTGCGACAAAATTTCAGTTCCGAGGTGAAAATGAGTACCAGTTATCAAATATGCTGCAGTTTGTGGACACATTAAAGTGTCGCTGACTTCAATGGCTCGATTTCGGCCCGCCATCTTGCTTGGGCTCTGCCCCGCATTCGATAACGTGTCTTCTGATCCCATTTTGCCACCCCTGAGGTGCGATTAAAGTTCGCCACAATCAAGCTGAGCAAATAATCAGAGGACTGCTCGTGAACAATGTGCAGCGCCCATGCAAGGCGGCCGCGTGGGACTCGCCGTCAGAATCGACGACTGTGCCTGTGAGAGAGGAAGGTTAAACCTTATATAATCACGCGCCCTTTGTCCAATCGCGCCACGTTCGTCCATAGACGTCTACTTTAGGGGCTTTTTTTAAAGGCAGCGTACAGGCAAATCTGGGCCTATAGGGATCTCACTTGAAGGGTAATCTTGGAGCATTAACTAAAAATCTGCCCAAGCGGCAGCTCAAATGGTGAGCTCACAGTTGACCTATTCGCCTCCAAACTGGACCCCGGGATCGTATTCGCATGGATTCATGGCGCGACAAATCGGTTTCGCGCGAGAACCCACGCGTGTTGCGCCGTGCGAATACGATCTCGGGGTTCAGTTTGGAGGCGAATATCTCAACTGTGAGTTCATCATTTGAACTGCCGCTTGGGCAGTGTCTTAGTTAGGGCCCCAAAATTACTTTCCACATCAAAACCCCGTATACAGATTTGCCTGGACGTGCCTTTCAAAGAGATACATTTTACCTGGCGTTCCATGCATTCCCTGTGTTCCCATGTTAGTTCGTGTTATTCCCTGCATTCCCTGCATTCTATTTCCAGACCATCCTTGCATTCCCAGCGATCCCAAGTTATTTCGTGGCATTCCTTGCATTCCCTCCATTCCATTTGTTGACATTCCTTGCATTCCTTGCATTTCTTGCGTTCCCATATTATCTCGTGTCATTCCCTGCCTTCCCTGCATTCTATTTCCAGACCATCCTTTCATTCCTAGCGATCCCAAGTTATTGCGTGGCTTTCCTTGCGCTTCCTCCATTCCGTTTGTTGACATTCCTTGCATTCCTTGCATTTCCTGCGTTCCCAGCGTTCCCAAATTATCTCGTGTCATTCCCTGCCTTCCCTGCATTCTATTTCCAGACCAACCTTTCATTCCTAGCGATCCTAAGTTATTTCGTGGCTTTCCTTGCGTTTCCTCCATTCCATTTGTTGACATTCCTTGCATTCCTTGCATTTCCTGCATTCCCATATTATCTCGTGTCATTCCTTGCCTTTCCTGCATTCTATTTCCAGACCATCCGTTCATTCCTAGCGATCCCAAGTTATTTCGTGGCTTTCCTTGCGTTTCCTCCTTCCCATTTGTTGACATTCCTTGCATTCCTTGCATTCTCTGCGTTTCCATATCATTTCGCGACATTCCTTCCATCCCCTCCCTTCCATTACTTGACATTCCCTGCGTTCCCATATTATCTCGTGTCATTCCCTGCATACCCTGCATTCCATTTTTTGACATTCCTTTCATTCCTTGCATTCCCTGCGTTTCCATATCATTACTCTGCATTCTTCTCATTTCATGCATCCCCATGTTATTTCCCGCCATTTCTTGCATGTCTCCATGTTTTCGCTTTCCTCCAAAGCCTGGTTTCTGCGCTGCCATATCTAACTGTGGTGCTTGCGCGTCCATTTTTGCATCTTCAGCATTCTCCGTTTCCTCTAAAATAAGGTGACAAATGCAATTGCCGAATAAACAAGAGACATTTAATATTGACGATTTGCGAGGAAGGTTTCCTCCATAGCAGAGATAGAAAGTTACATTCATAACCGTGCATGATAGTCCTTACTGCGGGGAGCGCTATCATTTCATTGTAACAGATCGCAGTAGTTTTGCTGACGCCCCATGCTACATTAGGAATCTTGTTCCCCTTACCCTAGGAAATTGCGTACGAGCGTACAGTCAGTGTCAACCACGTGCCCCTTTTCCGTAAAAACTATGCAACCGTAGCGCATGAGCATTGCGTAGCTTCCCTTGATGCGGCCAATTTGGGCGCTCAAACGGCGCGACCGCGTACGCAGCACGGGGATCTACCGTTGCGTTCAACTGATCGGAAAGAGAGCCCATCGTTGACACCGACTGTAAAATCGGGCTCATCCAATTGGCGCAGCAGGAGTAGGGGAGTCAGCTCAAAAAAGCTTTGCTCAAGACTCGATGAAGATCGATAGAGGTAAAAAGAAAAGAAAATCATTCCTCAAACATCTATGATCTAAAGATTAAATTACTGCAACGAACTTGTTTTAAACATTTCGATTTAGCAGTAACATCTTACAGATTCCAAGAAAAGCCTTCAGCAACAAGGTACTTGGTGATCGCCGTCATTTGTGATGAATTGTATATGAGGTCTAATGCCGGACGAAAGCACAATTAGGGATGAACAGGCGGGTTTATTAGCCTCAGGATGTATGAGGGCGCTGCTTCACCACCGCATAGATACGCGACATCGCGTTCGCCCGCTAATGTCGCTTTTGAGCCTTTTCTGGATTTCAAGTAATTTCGCAGTGAAGTGCTGACTCCGGTGTCAGAGCAACTTATTCAATGTATACTCTCTACTGTATATAGATCTACACCAGTGGCGTACCGAGGGGGGAGGGGAGGGGGCAAGCAAGTAAGTAAGGGCCGCATGCACTAACATCCCCGCGGGGAGGGGATCGCAGCTTGAAATAAAGCTTTAATTTCGAAACTCCAGATACCTGGATTTCACATTGTGTGCCTATCCGTAAGTATTCATACTACCCTTCACTATGAACATGTTGAAGAGGAGCGAGAAGCTGTACGAGCCGCATTTTCCAGCTTTTGTATGATCCCTGATGATCCCCTCCGCTTTTCTTTGATTTCATTTTTCTTTCCCCGAAGTTAACGAAAAACCTCCAAAGTTGTGCAGATTATCTAACCCGACAGTGCTAAGCATGTTGCTGATAAGAGCAAATGATGTTTTGAAGTCATGAAATTTTCGATGATCCACAGGTCGAAATTTGAAGTTTACCGAAAAATTCGACTTATTTGTTCTCATCAGCAACATGCTTAGCACTGTTGTGTTAAATGTTCAGTACAACTTTGGAAGGTTTTCGTTAACTTCGGAGAAAGAAAAATGACTTTAAAGAAAAGCGCCGGGGATCATCAGGGATCATACAAAAACTGGAAAATGCGGTTCGTACAGCTTCTCGCTCCTCTTCAACATGTTCATAGTGAAGGGTAGTAGGAATACTTACGGATAGGTACACAACGGGAAATCCAGGTATGTAGAGTTTCGAAATATAAAGCTTTCTTTTGAGCTGCGATCCCCTCCCCAGCGGGGGTGGTTAGTGCATTCGGCCCTAAGTGACACACCTGTACCTCTGCGAATTGACTAAGCCACAATAACTTCTTTTGCCATGCTAAAAATCCTAAAAAACATAACCTAGGGGTACAAAGGAATGTGAGGCCGATTGCCGACATGGGACTACTTCGAAAAATTATGATGAGGCTTGGTAAGGGTTCAATGAGCAAAAAAACAAAGAAAAGGGACGAAACGGCAGAGAAAACAATGTCGGCGCCGGCGCCATCGATCGAGGCATGGCAAAATGCCCGACGCAGTCGCGCGGGCCGGCGCCTCTGATGCAAACGACTCTGCAACTTAGGGGCCCTGTAATGAGTTATAAAAACTTGCAAATAACTTGTTTATACTTGTAGATGATTAAAATAATTTTTTAAATTTTCTAAAAATTCAAATTTCGCCCTAAGAGAAAATTCTTCGGGGCGTGGCTGAGGGTGGAACCGAAAAAAATTTTGGGAAGCATACCAAAAAATTTTTCGGAGTGCGTGGATAATGCACGCACCTTCATCAGAAAAATTTTTTTGTCGCCCCCCCCCCCTCCCCCCGAGCGGAATCCTGGGTACGCCACTAGTCTACACAGATAAAACTCAAAGTTTGTAAGTATGTTTCTGCGAAGTATGTGTCGAAAAATTTATGCGAGTGAACGAAGAAGCGCCAAACTTGGCACACATATGTTTTCAACCCCTGCGCATACGATAGGCTGCTTTTGCGGCTTTGCTTAGTCCTTCCATCGACATATTTATTTGTTTACTTGCACCAAGGAAAATGAACATTGTTCCAAACAAACATGTAAAAGGGCGGTAGATTCCATCTACATTTCACGGTGAGGAGGATGGGGTGTCTTGAAGCGCGGATAGGAGATAAGACAAGTCCACACAGAAGCGCACTGCCCGGATTAGGAACAGGAACAGAATAGTTATCATTTAATCCTCTTCGGCCCCACGGTCCAAGCGGACCCTGAAAGCCAGCTAGCAAAAATTACATCGCAGCTGATTTCTTTATCTGAGGGCTAGGAAGATCTCAGCACTCAATTTACCGTAAATTCATATTTAATTTTCTGCTCCAATAAAAGCTCATAACTTCTCGGATACGTGCGGATAAGGGTGCAAATTTGAAATCAGCGTTTCACGCTCTTTGATGTGCTATACATTCACCTAGAAAGGCCACTTCGACTAGATATGGTTTCCTTGTAAGCTTGAAGTAATGTCGAGGACGTTGTCATTTGTTTCTGTTCTTTTAAGAACAGTAAACTTTGGTGACAAAAGAGCCCATAATTCATTTGAAGAGTAGCACAGTGATTAGCGAAAATAGCTTTGGAGTTTGCGTTTCAATATATAGTAGGTTGGCTAAAAAATAATTTTGTTTGGGCATGCAAGTTTTCATAAAAACTTATCTTATTGTTTTTTATCCAAGGCTTTTCTGTGGGAAAGCACTTCAAAACTTCTGCTATCACATACCAACTACTCAGCATTTTTTATGAATAGAGGAATTGTGCCTCAAGATAATGCCCCAATTCTCAATAACTCAGTCCTTTGAATTTGTAAGTTTGCCCTCATACTACGGTGGATGTAGGACGAGAAATTTGGTGTTTGGATATACAACGACTTTGATGTAGCGGATAAGAATGAAACTTGTGAGCCATTCTAAAATTCTTTGACAGAGAAAAACGAAATTATTTTGGGTTTTCGCACAATGAGAACACTAGAAAGTCTTGATTTTTTGCGCCTTTCCAACGCTTGAAATTCTCAATAAAGTGTTCTTTCTATTAGGTTGTTACATAAGTCTTGTTACACTTAACTTCTAACGACAATAAGTCATGCACCTCATATTCTTTACAGGGCTACAGGGCACCATTCGATAGATCAAAGCAAGCTCTACAAGGTGGTGTGCAAAAGTTCGCACCAGCTCCGATCCACCGTAACTTTGCATTCAAAATCTGAGTCGCAGTGAAGGCTCAAAAATTGCGAAAAATTCATATCTTTGTTCAGAAAAATCCTACGAAGCTCCAGCTTGCTCATAAAAATTGCCCACTATATCAAACACTCATATGCACCGTTGCTGTATTTTTCCTCATCTAGAAATCGAGAAAAGGAAATTTTTTTAGTTTTTACAAAAACGAAGCTATGCTGTTCCTATCTGTGTAGCTGTATACTACAAGCCATAAGCAGTATAACCGTGAATTTTTAGCTTCCCAGAAGCCCCAGTTTTCGAAAAATACCAAATTTAGTTTCTCTCACTTGGGTTTTCAAGGCTAAATTGGGTATTTTTTCGAAAACTAGGGCTTCTGGGAAGCTGAAAATTCACGGTTATACTTTTAAGGGCTTGTAGTATACAGCTACATGGATAGAAACAGCATAGCTTCGTTTTTGTAAAAAGTAAAAAATTTTCCTTTTCTCGAGTTCTAGATGAGGAAGAAATACAGCAATGGTGCATATGATTGTTTGATATAGTGGGCAATTTTTATGAGCAAGTTGGAGATTCGTAGGGATTTTCTGAACAGAGATATGAATTTTTCGCAATTTTTGAGCCTTCACTGCGACTCAGATTTTGGATGCAAAGTTACGGTGGATCGGAGCTGGTGCGAACTTTTGCATACCACCTTGTAGAGTTTGCTTTGCTCTATCGAATGGTACTTTGTAGCCCTGTAAAGAATATGAGGTGCATGAGTTATCGTTCTTAGAAGTTAAGTGTAACAAAACTTATTTAACAACCTAATAGAAATGCCAAACAGTTCAACAATTAGTTGCTGCAGCACTTGCAGAAGCCAGAAAGACGACCGAGATTGTTTATTAGCCAACTTAATAGATTATATTGTTTATTAATGAACCTATAGAAACAGGTAGGGGTGGATTACATCTCATCACAAAATTACCGTCGTGTATCATTTCCTTCTTAGAAACGGAAAATGATTAGCTTGCATGCGCAAATAGCACGTTGACAGAATTTCTGCCATGGGCAGAGGGGATTGAGAACAAAGAATGAAGCTACTTGGAAGTTCCTCAATCGAGAGCATGCCTAAGAATTTGTCTCAATAGGTTTGATGCCACACTCGAGGCACAACCTCCAGATCATGTAAGTTTTGCTGTTTTGAGATAAGCAGGTTTTACAAAGTTATCTCAAGTACCTATGTAGCAAGAATCTGTTTCAAAATCTGTCGTTTTAGCTAAGTCTCGCAATAGCATCAAATATCCAGACCCTTGATTGCACTACAGTAATACAGCTGGGCTCAAAGAGGAAAAGTAGAAATCTACGTGTCACAGCAGAGGTTTTTAGAAGTATGTTTGACACTCCCAGCTTGCAATAATGTTACTGATGCTACAATCACCGGTCTGTTATTTCAGATCTCACAAACGAAGCAGAGTGACGGTTATCACGGTTATCTTATACGTACATCATCGAAGATGAATAGGAAAGGACGCTGTCAAAAAGCAGATTCTTACCTGTTTCTGTGGGTGCGGGCGTCTTTTCCGTTGTACCTGAAAATAACGAACTTTACTGAACTTATCACGCTTGTGCTCAAAACATTGCTTTCACACTATTCTGGTTTGATTCAATATAATTTCGCTGTGATAAACACGATGCGCAAGAGCGCGTCTCGCTACTTGCAAGTTACTCACTAACAAAGAATACAGGGAGAGTTGGGAGAGTCGAAATGTAATGTGTTGTAAGTTTTCGGCTGATCTCGTGTATGACCTCAGTATTTGCTACACACCCTTGCTGAAAGAGTTGTACAGGAAATGAATGCGAAATGCTAGACGCGCTTCGGTATGGAGAGGCGGCTACAGTCCCAATGGAGGCACAAGTAATTTAATGGTGAGTGGCTCTAGCTATAAAGTGTAAGGTAGCGAGTTTGAAACCTTCTATTGCTGGGTTTTTTTGCAACATCGCCATACTCGCAGGCGATCTGTGAAACATCTACACGCATCAAAGCAGGTTTTTTTTGAACTCTTGCACTTTTTTCTTCGAGTTTTCCCTACTCTAAAAACCTCTCGATAGCAACACAATTAATGAACATGGAGGATAACATTGTACAAAATGCTATATATATAGCATAGAAGCAATATATATGTACAATAAGCGCAGCGAATGAAAAACAGTTCTTCGGCCTTCGCTTTTCACAGGCCCCTTCACAGATTTGGCAAAGCAATAAGTTGAATCAAATGGTCCCAGATATTGTTGGATGTGAAAATTGTAAAGTATGCTAAAACAGATGACTTGATTGCATAAATGCTTTAAGAGATCGCAGGCTAGCATTGGCGATGTTGCAAATGTAGCGACAAGTAAAACTTCCAAACCAGAGTCAAGCGTGGGGTCAGGCGCACCCGACCTGGGGTGTCGTATAGGGGACTGGAGAGAGAGGAGAGTCGTAATCAAGCAGCTCATGCAAAAGTTCCGTGGAGATAAAATTAATGGGGTCAAGCGCTACCCCACTATAAGACAGGCTGCTCGAGTTTTGTAGCCTTGCGCCCCTGGCCCGATTAACTTACGTTTTACCATAAACCGCTCTATATTCAAAAGTAGTTCGAAACCATCTCTCCACTGTAATAGTTTGATCCTAAGCCCTCCTTTCCTATGAAAGTTACGCGAGGAAAGTGATAAGGAAACTCATACCTAGGAGAGAGTTCACGCCAAGTATAGGGGCCTGCGCGATCGCGGAAGTCGGACGTGCGCACGGCCATAGCGCAGCGCACGTCCGATGTCACTGAGGCGGGTGTCATACTTATCCTGTTCAACTGGTTCGCCCGGTTCACTTATTCACTATTGATCAAATCAATGCACTGACCAATAGTAGAGGGGATGAACCGAATAAACCTGTTGAACAGGGTAAGTCTGGCACCTGAGTCGTGGGACGGACATCGAACGTGCGCGGCCAATGGCCGTACGCACGTCTGACTCTTGCGATCATGCAGGACCCTATACCGCGTATCGTGTAAAATTGCTTAGGCGTACGGACTTCAACGATCAAACACTCCTAATTAGGTTTCATTTCCCGAGCGGTCACTATGAGATTGCGGTAAATGGGGAACACAGGTCGCCCAGGTAAGCTGTAAGTGAGGGGGGGGGGGGGGTCGGTTTTGATGGACGTATGTCAGACCTTCCGCCCTATACCGGTTTCAAACCCTCTGTCTAGCCTCGTCAAAACCACTCCACTAGTTTATGACTCCGCTGCAGTCATCGCCGTCGTTCTCTCATTCGAAGGCGCGCCTGACGATCTCAGTTGAGTGTATGACTTCTTTGGCTAAGGTCCGCAGCAGATACCGTATGCGATCTAGTAACTTTTAGTTGTGAGGCCGCAGCCATCCTACACATTGGATCGCAAACAGATTTGTTAGGAATACTGTCTTATCTCAAAAATCGGAATAGGTGTTAACTCCCAATTATTGTTTCACATTTATCATCACCAAGTGCAAATTCCAACTTTCGATCAATATCAACTTCTGATTGAGAAGTTCATCAAATCCCATTGTCGTCCTTGCGTCTAGGCATTGAACTATCTGTTCTTATCAAGTCTCCCACTCTATGGGAAAATTCTCAACTGTCACAGTATCAACTAAAGCAACGGCTCATGAAGCTGGAAGGTGAGAGGTTACGGTTAAAGCTGGGAGGAACACTGGATAACCAAAGATACTCCAGCGACGGAGCAGTCCCGCATTCTTTGCAGCATCTCCTTTTTCCTTCAAAATAAGGAACCACGATTGATAAACTTTCTAAGCCGCGATTAATCAATTAGTTGTTAAGTTGAAGATGGCAGCGAATTCTCGTACATCTAACAAAGGAATGAAGGTTAGTCGAAGTGCCCTCCCAAGAAGGGGATGTATACTGTCTTGTGTGGCCTGGAACGCTGGTTCATTTCCTTTCCGTATCTGCGGGCGTTTGTGGGAGAGGAATTACGAAGGTTTCTAAAGTCGAAGCCGAGCACGATCAAGAGCCCGTATCGTCAAGTATCGGCTGGTGTGACCCTTGATTCAACTGGCTTGGCGCCTGGAAGGCGGGAGTTCGTGACCTAACTAAGGCCGCTTGCACCCTCGACGCTGTCTGCGTCGAGGGTGCAAGCGTCTCTCCCGCGTGGTCTGCGTCTCTCCCGCGCGCTGCCCTCATTACCTAGTCTTAACTAGGTCACAAAATCCCGCCTTGCAGGCGCCAAGTCAGTTGAATCAAAGGGCAGTGCGGCTGCCTTGCAGGCAAATGCTAGGTTCAATTCTTTTCTTGTATTTTTCTTGCAATTTTGTTAAAACTCGTAGGGCTCGACAATGGCGTACAAGAGGGGAGGGGCGCCCTCCCTCCTCGAGAGAATGGGTCGCGACATTTTGAAAGTCACTTGTTTGAGTTATAAAAATGCGCAGGTGACTTCTTTAGTTTGTAAATCATTAAAATATTTTAAAATTTTTGAATTAATTTAGTTTTAGGAAAACATTCACCTAGAGAGTGGTTAGCGTTACGCCCCTTTTTCCTTTGAAATTTCGAATTTATTAGCCTGTAAGAACTTTGAAGAGCATATCAGAAAAATTTTGTAGTGAAATCGGACGGAAATCCTGCGATTGCCACTGGTATCTGCACATGTTAGCTAAGCTTGTATATGCATCTTATTATATTCACCAACATGTGTAGGTGTCAATTTGTGTTTGTTGGCTTTCTACCTTTATCTCAAGAGTCTTGCATATAACATGCTGTCAACGCGTATTTCAAATGCAAGATTCAAACAAACAAATGGCTTGTTTACAGCGCACAAACAATCATATGGCACCAAGTTTGGGCTATGTGTATTCAATATTTCTCCAAACTATGTAGTGCTGACTATTATTGTAGAGCCACTCTAGAAAACGTTCTAATTTTCTTCTTGTCAATGAATCTTTCTGAAACTTTGCTGTATTGTGCGCATGTTAACCTAACATGACCCTCCAAAACCGCTTCCAGTTTTGTTGAGCTTGAACAGAGAAAAACGAAAAAATTTGAAAAAGCCCTTAATGAAAGCTGGACAAAATTATAAAGCCACCTGGTTTTTCTAATCACTATCTAATCATTCTTTGACTCTCAAATTTGTTTGTACAATCACATCCTAAAATATGAAACATTTGCAACACCTACGGCCTGTCGTCCTACTCAAATAGAAGGGATCACTGCATTTTTTGCTTTTAAAAGCATCAAAAGTCAATCTGCTTCAACAGACAGCTGGTTCAAGGACTTTTCAAGCTCTTGTTTATTTCAAATTGTAGTCATAAACTACTGATCCTTTTTGATAAATGAGATGAAGAGCGCTCTCATAAATTCTGCATAGTCGCTGATATTGACGGACAAACTCCAACCTCACCATGGGGTTGACGCACCACAAAACTACTCGATTTTCAAGCAACGGAAAGCACTGTAATGTAGACATTATGACAGCCATACAACAGTGAACTTGTGCGCATGGCTAAAAAAATTTCGGGATTGAGCACTCTGGTTCAGCCGCAGTTGACATCCAGTGAATGTGAGTGGAGCATCCTGCACAATCAAAGCCAGCTGAGGTCACGAGATAAAACAGGAGACGCTTAAAACTTTGAAATATTAGCTAATATCATTCATTGGGTGAAATTTGACGTGAAACACAGAACGAAATAAGGAGATCTAGGGTTATATCGAATCTTGCTCGCAGGGAATTTTCGTGAAAAGTTTTTCAGTTCTAAATCGCAACTGCATCATTAGGGAATTCAAAAGTTCTTGCAAAAGCTGCATCACCATTTAGGCAGGGTGATAAATGAAATCCAGCGCTTTATGAACATTGCAAACAGAGTTTTGTGGTGCAAAAGTGGTCAACCCTATGCTGAGGTTGGAGTTTGTCCGTCAATAGCAGAGACTACGCAGAGTTTATTAGCGTTCTTCACCTCATTTTTAAAAAAGGATCAGTAGATTTTATGACTAAAATTCGAAATAAACAAGGGCTTGAAAACTCCTCAAACCAGCTTCTTGTTAAAGCAGACTAACTCTTGATGCCTTTGAAAGCAAAAAATGCAGTGATCGCTTCTGTTGAGTAGGATAACAGGCCGTATGTTGCAAATGTTTCATATTTGGGATGTAATTGTACAAAAAATTTGAGAGTTAACGAATGCGATAGTGATTAGAAAAACCAGGCGGCTTTATAATTTTGTCCAGCTTTCATTGAGAATATTTCAAATTATTTCGTTTTTCTCCCTTCAAGCTCAACAAGACTAGATACCGTTTTGAAGAGTCATGTTAGGTTAATATGCGCACAATACAGCAAAGTTTCAGACAGATTCATTGACAAGAAGGAAAATTACGACGATTACTAGAGTGGCTTTATAATTATGGTCAGCACTGTATTATGTAAAGTTTCAAAAACTCATGTGTACTAGAACCCGTTCCCGAATTTGTTGGTTTTCAGACCAACACCAAACCAAATGGGTTGGTTCGGAACGTAAATCTCGGAGAGTTCACATAAGTTTTGGAACTTTTTGACTTGAACAATTAGAACGCTCAAAAGTCTATCATATAGCGAGGAGAGCGAATCAAACTATTGCCTCTCCTCTTTTTTTAGCCAAAAATATTGTAAACCTACGCACTGCTAGATATCGCGCTCCATTCACATGCGACGTTCTCTAAACTATGTGAAATGCATCGTCATTGCTGAGGCCACAGATTTGGTTGGCCTCACAAGTTTTCGACAAACACAGAATGTTTTTTTTTGCTTTTTTGTTGTATTAGATACCTTAAAGTGCGTTTTTTTTCGCCTTTTTATTGTTATGCTGATTGAATAAGGGCTTCCCTACCGACTTTTACGTCAAAAGAAACTTCGTAAATCTTCCCAAAGTCATAGGGGACATCGTTTTCAAAAATGCTCCAAACAAACCAGCGTTCCGGGCCCTGATGCTGGTTCCTCATTTACTAGTGAACGAAATCTCATAATATGGCGAGCCTTTGTAATACATTCTACATCCTAGGGTTCTACATGCTGAACACAAGTATCACCTTCACTTGCCTTCAAACTAGAAATGTTTACGGCCCTTTCAAAAATGCATTGTCTTACAGAATGAACATGATTTTCGTAATCAGCGTGTCGAGAAACCCTTAGAACAAGTTCGATCTGGAACTGTAACGATCTGAAACAATTCGTGAGTTTTTTGTCTTTTTACTCTACACCTGCCGTAACCCGTTGCCAGAATCCGGAACAATCAGTGTTTGTAGATCAAATCATAGTCTACACATCTCCGAAGTTTAGTGTACCACATGCAAAAAGCGAAAAGTTATAAAAGTTGCGAAACTCACCCATTTTAACGGGAGGCAGTAAGGCGTGGCTTCGAGGTTCAATTAAGACAAGGCAATAAGCAGAGAGCACGCTCGAGAGAGCGTTGCGGGTGCAAGCGTTCGCCTTCCAGCCGCCAATCCCGTCGAATCAAAGTGTGGTTAACAGCTCAATACTTTCGAGAAGAGCATTGAACTGGTTTGCGACTGAGATAAAAGAGAGGGGGGCAGTGTGTGAACGGTAGTGAACGGTACCCAAGCTCTAAGAGTTTTTTTTTTGAAAAATTGCAAAACGAAAAATACGGGTAAAGAGAACCTGGGAGCATCTGCTGCAAAATCGTTGCACGACCCTCTACATAGCCTACACGACGGCATGGCGCTCCTGACCGTACTTGTATGCGACTGCCCAGCTTCGGCCACCAAAACCTTCATAGCCCCACTTCCAGAACTGCTCCGCAATTAAGAAAAGCAAATTTAGAATCAGCGTTCCAGGTCCCCAAAACAATATACATCCCGTTTTAAAAGGCCGCTTTGACCGCAAACTTCCTTCCCTTGTAAGTCTTCAAGTCGCAAATACGAGTCGGAATGACTCCATGGCATTCTTACGATACTAGACGGTTCTGAAAATTACCTGTTGCAAGAAAAGCGATAGCAATTATCCATGCTGTGGTGGACACCATGATGTGCGATCGATGTCTAACCTGAAGAAGTCCATTGCTTCGTATAGGTGTAGCATGCAACTGTACCAAATCGGTAACGATGACGAGCACTGAAGAAGAAACTGTGAAACAGTAAGCTACACTGCGGAGGGCGGAGCAATGCCCTTTTATATCCATTAAAGCACTGATGTCTTCCAAACTGATTTGCATGATACCTTACGGAGCTAAAAACCATTAGATGGAATCGAATGTAATGTGGAGCCAATGCATTATCACATTCACTGAGTGTTAGCTAACACTTAAAGTTGCTGAATACTAATTTCTTGGCCTCTGGCGTATGGCGAAATTAGCCGAATTTTTAGTAGAACGTAGGTTGTAAAGGAAAACACAACACTTTTCAAAAACTTTACTCTTCCTCAAAAAAGGGAGAGGCGTAAAACCAATACCAGAAAGTTTGTAGCGCAAACTCCTATTGGCGTGGAAAACGGCTCAACAACCACTTATAAGCTCTATATCCCATGAAATCAGCCCGAGACAAACGCTTAAGTTATGAGAGCATTTTTTTGAAAATATTCTACTAGAAGTGACTCAAATCTCAATTATCCAAAAAAGGAAACAAGGATCTTTGAGACAGAGATCTTAGGATTATACAAAGTTGGGGGAAAGCCTTTGAACACGGTATTTCAATCGTAGTCACGAAACTAGGCAGCATATACACGAAATAAATATATAAGGTTCATTGAACAATCTACTATATGAAAGCGACTTTACATTTCAAAGATCCCTCCTTTGGCGCAAACACAGGCTCGAAGACGTTTGTGAAAGCTGTCCACGATGGCACGGAGGTACTCTACGTCGATTTCCTCCCACGCATTCTGAAGAGCGCGTCGCAATGACTCCATAGTTCTGCGTGAGTGAGCGCAGGCTTTCGCCTAAGGAACTGATCACTTGCGGCAGTCAAGGGTATTTGAATCCGCCCTATACGGAGGTTATTCCACAGGAGTAATGAAGTCCTTAACGTTGCTTTGGAGCCATGCTTGAACAACCTTTACTTAGTGCGCAGGTGCGTTATCCTGCTGTAGCACCAATTGCTCCCGGCGAATGGGTATTGGCTTCTTTCTTCAGGATGCTATTCACATGCGTGACAGTGTCCACTTTAAGCACTGATACCCTAAAAATCAGTGGCATTTTGTTGTCGAAAGCGATCGCCGCGCAAACTGTCACAAAAACCGGATGAAGCTTTCCTTCTGCAAGTCATCCCTTGCTATTGGTTTCTTGAGGCGTTTAGGTGATAACTCTGTTGTTTTGGCGATCAAAAATATGCTTCACGATGAAAATTTTGATGTCAGAACAGAATATGTTTGGTGGCTTGCCTTGGAGAGACGTTCAGGCATTCGATGGCGTTCGTGCACTCAAATTAGCTTCGTATCTTCCCAAAAAGCATGAATTATGAGCATCTTGAAAAGCTTCACCCCAAGACCTTGTTTCACGATGTCGGAGACTTTTTTATCAGAGATGAACAGCTTTGAACCCAGCTCAATCAAGCTTCTCCGAGGATTGCGATGATGGCGCTGGCGAACGATCTTCAGAATTTTGTGTGTGTCTGCAGTAACCAATTTATCACTCTTACAGCAGTACTGGGTGCTGTTCATATCCTGGAAAAGACGCAAGGTGGAAAAGACGCTGATTTGTAAAATTTGGGGAACCCGCGCAATCTGCTGGTTAGCCATCTTCTCCTCGTGCATCTTCGCCACCAACGCTCGCTCCGTTTCAAAAGGCATATCTCCGACAGAAATAAAGCTAGTAGAACAGTTTTGGAGGGCTTGTAACTACGGGTATAAGAAGCAAATATATATAATTAGCATGCAAGAATATGTGGAAAATCCGATCATACAGTGATGTGAAAAATTGTTCAAAGACTTTCCCCCAACCCTGTAAATGCACGTTGGTACTCATCACCGCATATCGTTCTGGTTCGCCTTCATCAGAAGTAGAGTGATTGACGAGCAACGAAATCAAGAAAAGAAGAAGAAGACAAAAGAATCTTGGCTCCATTTAAATCTACAGAGTCGGCTGCGAAGGCGGTCGCGTCGCGCGCGCAGCTTTTATCACTGAGTCACGCTTGCCGTCGTGCATTGCACTCTGGTGGATTTGCTTGCTGTTCATTATGTGCTGTTTGGTCGCTGGTGTTACAAGACACACCGGAGCTTTCGTAAACGGTTTCCCACGGAGATGCTCGATTGGGCTGTAGTCATTCATTATAGTTGAAACGACCGGAAAATTTCGTCAAAAGATTAAATATCGAATAATCGTCTTTTGAAAAATATTCGAACGAACGAATATTATTCGATCTGTGATTTTCAGATTATTCGAACTCGAATATTCCAATAATGCTACACTTCAAAATTCGATTGAATGAATATTCGAATAAATGGAATTGGTTAAATACTCGACTATTCGAATAATCGAATAATCATATCTGTCCGAATTTTCGGCTATTCGAATAATTCGAGTAATCTAGCAACTCAAACAATAGTGGTTTTTCCTTTTCTGCATACTGCAAAAAAATAATCGCTATATTTGATCTAGATTTGTAGCTGATAATTATATGTGTAGCAAGTGATAAGGATGACTGGGTTATTGTTGCTTGGTCAGGGTTCCACTAGGAAACAGAAGAACTTCACTCAAACATGTAGTTCAGGGTGTTCATTGCCTTTGAGATGGCTACTAAGCCTTACTTCGTAATTTCAAGTCCGTATTTATTTCTTCCTCACAGAAGTTTATCCCGAAACTACACAAAACTCTTTTCTCAAAGCTACAGATCCAACATGAAAAACCTTACAGAATAGGTAATAGGCGCTTGTAATTTATTCGGGATGGTCAGCATTGCGTGAGTTCTAAGACTATCACTTGGAGAGCTCGAGGAAGGCCTACAGTAATAGAATCAGTGAAGCTCTGCAGCAGAGGTGACGTTGTCTGCCTAATAAGTGCGCATCTAAATCCAGAAAAGAAAAATCTTGGAAATATCTCTATATTAGCTGCTAATCATATACTTGTCGGAAACTATCAATCGCTGAGTTTCCACAATTTCTCTTGTAGGATTGACTTTTCACAAAGTTGTTTTAGTTTAGTTTTAAGGTTTGTGCTTTTGTTGTAAGGGTTCTTCCACATCTTTTACTCAGGTTCAAAATAGTTATTGTTCAGCCTACTTGCCCACTCGAAGTATTATTCCTCTATAATCTCTACAACATTTTAACACTAGTCTTTTTTACGGTTCCTGACTATAAAAGCAGCCGATTTGAGTATGGTGAGCATACAGGCTGCCGCCACAAGTCAAGCGCTTCTAACGACCGTCTTGCTCTAACCTTGCCTGGTTAACATACCTTTCAGGTACTTTGACATGTGGGTGGTGAACGGGCTGGCAAGGCATGTGAGGAATCTTGAGTGAAGGAATGAATGTTGCCTATACGTGCTGCCTTGAAAAAACTGCTAGTCCTTCATATGTTTATGCAAGATGTTTGAGGAGCAGTGGTCCGCCAAAGGGCGCCTAATACGGCTTTGCTTCTTACCCCATTTAAAGCTGGAGGTTTTTGGGCATGATATCGCATCTCAATTTCTCAGACGAGATTTCCAGAAGATGTTTACCACTCCAAACGAATTATGCATGAGAATTGTCATCACTATGCTGTGGCATGACTCGCGACTCATGCCTTTAAAAAGGAACCTTGCTAGCCATTCTGTCGTATAATAATTCATTTCTATGAGTGACCGATCGGAAACATATTTACACGCAATGTAGAACAGCTGAAGTTTTCTTTTGACATCGAATGTTCGAGTAAATGGTCTTTAATATTCGAATATTCGAACTGTCTTTCAAGTTGGAACATTTGAATATTCGAATAACTCATTGTTCAAAATGTCGAATGAACAATTATGCGAACACAGGCCTTTTTTATTTATCGACTGTTTTAATCGAATAATTGGACTTCTCCGAATATTCGACTATCTGAATATTCGAATAGTCGAATATTTCGAATAAATTATTCGAACACGAATACTCGGTCCTAACTATAGTAGTCATCGTGCTTTTCGTTGCATGGAATGACAGACGAGAACACTTTGTTGTCATCCAAAATGGACTTGAACTAAAGGAGATGGTTATTCATCTGCGGACTGCTATCGTACTTACTCCCCCAGAGTAATGCAAATTGGTGCTGTTTATTGTATGCTGTATGTTTTTGCCCAGCTAAATGCTTTATGATTATTTTGTGCTTTCATTATTTATCCCTTAGCTCTCCTTTTAAATCTCAATCTTTCTTGCACTTGTGCAAGATTTGCTTATGTATGAAGCGTAGCGATTTATATTAAGTTATATGCTAAGTCAAAACGGTTTGATATGTCATCCATTACATTGAAAGTTTAGATGACCTGGTGTATTTGCAAATGCTTCCTAAAATGTTTACATCTTTCAAAAGGTGCAGGTCTTTTGGAAGGATTGATAGTTCTTTCTTTTTGTTAGATCTGTCGTAAACTTACTGTCCAAAGGAGCTTCTATGAATTTCAGTTATTCTCATGATCTCCAATGACTTCGTCCTGCACGATTATTGGTTTTGTGCTAATGCTTTTTGAAGCATAAAGATGACTTGATTGGCAGGTGCATATGGAACATCAGTAGTCATTCCATAAAGCAAAAATATGTTGCGTCATTTGCATCTTGTCATAAATATGTATGTAAGAGGCAACTTGAGGCACCTGAAGTTCTGACGCCCTATATCTGCTGTTTTGTTTATCATGTGAAGTCTTTCGGTTGCGTCCTCTATCATACTGGATCGAATAATGAACACTCCTTGCACAGGACAAGCTCTGAATAACCAACTTCGGATGCCTTAAGGTAACTCTTACGAATCTGCTAGATAGAGGCCAGAATCGTATATGTTGGAAGACTCAAGAGGTCATAAGTATCAAAAATTAGCCTCTTACAAGTAACTAACACTTGCCTCTCTCCAAAACATCTCCACACATACACTATGTCAGACCCGAAGAAGTTTAAGAGAATGACGCGCTAGGAACCCATATAATCTCTTTTTGTCGTTACAGAAGTCATTTGTTGATATACCCAGCTCCGGCCAAAATTTTTGGTATGCCAAGCTCGTTCCTACTTTATCATAAAAGCTATTCGACTTTTCAAAACTTTTCTACAAAAGCTTTTT